TTATAGATTTGAGATTTTTATTAACAATCGGAATGGAATGAATATTATGTGGTTTAATAATTTTTGACAACTTAGCAAAATGAGAATTGTTAAACGGTAAACAAATTTTAGGAATTTGTTTATAAACCAGAGATCGTGTTTTTTTGGAATTCGAGTCTTTATTTTAAAATCTAATTTTGTTTAAACGGATTTTAATATATTTTTTATAAAAAAGATGGGGGTAATCGTTATTTATCAAAAATTTTTCTACTTTTGATAAGTTGTCCTTATGAAACCAATGGTGAAAAAGAAGAATGGCTCTGTCAACGAGATTGTATACAATGTTGATTTTTTGTTGAATTGGATGATTTGAGAAGTAATTGATAAGTCTACCTGAAGATATTGGTTTTTGGTACCAGTTATTTGTTAATTTATTGTTTATAACATTTAAAGTAATATCTAGAAAATTAATTTTATTATCCATTTGTAGTTCATGAGCAAACTGTAAGTTATTATTGTAAGAATTAAAAATGTTGATGACCATGTCGATATGGTTCTTATCAACGCAAATGATAATGATCAACATATCTATAGTAAAATAATGGAATACAATCATATTGAGATTTTAAGATGTTAAGACAATCACATTCCAAATCATCCATTACAATATCGGCGAAAAGTGGTAAAATGGGAGAACCCATTGGAGTGGCAGCAATTTGTTTATCGTATTTTTTATCAAAAACAAAAAACGTGTTATTAAAAATAAATTTTATACATTTTTCTATTTCGGAGAAAAGCATTTTACAATTTGACAAAGATGTAATTCTCCATTCAAGACCTTCAATGACTAAACTGAGAAGAATTTTAGTAAACAATTATTTTACATCAAGAGACATTAGAACATAATCGTCAGGAATAGTTAATTTATCAAATTTTTCAATAAGATCGAAACTATTGTTAATATGAGAATTTGTGACTTTAATGTTGTTTTTAAGTTCATTATACAAAACTTTTGCTAAAAAATGAGTTGGGCTATTTATAAGAGAAACTATTGGACGAAAAGGAACATCTTCTTTATGAATTTTTGGAAGGCCGTAAAACTTTGGTAAAACTGTATCTGTTAAGGTTAATTGATTATTATGGTATTTATATTGAAGAAAATCATTGTCATTTAACTTTTTAAGAATTTTTGAAATATTCTCTTTAAGATCAGACAATGGGTTATTCGTAAGAATAGTATATGTTGAAGAATCTGAAAGGAGATCATTTACTTTTTTATAGTAAACAGATTTATAAAGGCAAACTGTAGAATTACTCTTATCGGCTACAGTGAACATTATGTCTGGATTTTGTTTTAAGTATCATTTAGTAATTTTAACTTGATGCTCGCATTGAAATGACGAAAATTGTCGCATATCTAATTTTGTAGTGTTTTACTTTTTAATGTTTAACGATAATTTTAAAGATGGATTCTAACATTGACTAGTTGCAATGTAGAGTAGAAGGGGGTAATGTAGTGCAGGGGGAAATGTAGTGCAGCGCCTCTACCGACTAAGCGAATGAATCGAATTACTTGCCGTTGGTATAAGAGCTGTGTGGTGATAAGTCATGCTCATGTCAGCCATTACGGTTGTTATTATGCACCTGTCACAAAAACTGTTTGAATACAAATCTGGTATTATTTTGGCAATATTTTTTATATTTACTTAGTTATTGTAATCGACGTGAAATAAGTGTCGTGGGGAAATGTAGTGCACTCGGTTGGGGGAAATGTAGTGCAACTGACGGAGTGTCATTCGTATGTATTTTTTTGTTTATTTATGCTTCTCGCGTCATTTCAAATGTATGTGTAATATTCAGAGTGATCCTTACCTAGCGATGAGGACGTTAATGAAGTCGTCCTGAAGCACAGAACTAAACGTCCTCGTCGATAAAAAAATTTTGTATTCATGTTTACGTTTTTTTCAGATTTTAGCAGTTTCTTATTTTTTTTAAACAAATAACTATTTTTGAATTTTTTATATATTTTATGTACCTAATAGTTCTTAACTTTTTCAAATAAATTAGTTTTCTATCGTTCCTTGAATATTTTGGTGCTTTTATTGCACTTAGAATGTTGTGCACTACATTTCCCCACAAATTTTGAAACATCAAAAAAAGTACTTTCAGTTTTTTGGCTATAGCTCAGCACCATTAATTCTTGCAAAAAAATGCAGTACAGCATAAATGTAGCTTAATAAATTATCTTTCCAATGATCGGTCATCGATCAAAATCGGTTGAAAAATACGACTACGGGAGCCGTTAGAAAAACAGTGCACTACATTACCCCCTTCTACTCTAGTGTTTTAATTTATGTGTTTAATTTTGTGTATTTATTAATTTGGTGTTTTGCTGAATAAATTAGCCTAAAGAAGAGGGTAAACCAAACCATGGAAACGTCGCAACTTGACAAAATAACATAAATCTGTTTTATGTGTTTTCTTTACCTTCCATTGATCGAATTTTTCTTCTTATCAAAAAAAAGATAGATTTGTATTAGATATTTGTATTATACCGAGGGAATATTCTCGTGAAATTCATGTAATATTGAGGGGATATCCCTGTGAGATATTGAGCAGGATATTCCTGTGATATTGAGGGAATATTCCTCTGATATTGAGAGAATATTCCAGTGATATTAAGAGAATATTCCTTTTACTTATAAAATTCAAAAATGTTGTTTGTTTTGATTTAAATAAACAAATAAATAAATGAAAAAAAAATAGAAAAAATTTTTTTTAGATTTTTTTAAATTATCTCATCAATATTACTCGAATATTCTCTCAATATCAGAGGAATATTCCGCTCAATATCACAGGGATATCCCCTCAATATTACATGTATTTCACGGAAATATTCCCTCGGTATCATACGAATGTCTCAGAAATATCACCGTGGAATGTCCCTATGAAGCGGACATTATGATATCGCCGAGGGGGAATTTACAAGTTAAAAACGTGTACACTTGACTACCAGCAATACACCTCATATTACCTTTATTACTAAGTATTACACGTTATTAGAGAGTATTACACATTATTACAGAGATATTACAGATTTTTTTGCGTTATTACAGTACCGTAATAACGCATTATTACACGGTATTACACGATATTACACAATTATTACAGGAAGAGTTTACACTTGACTACCTGAGTAAATTCCCCCTCGGATATCGCCTGAATGTCACAAGAATATTCCCACTTGATATCACCGTGACATTCAAACAATATTCCGTGCTACTTGGGAATTATTTAATCAATGTATTATTTACTATATTTTTTTGTAATGTACCTAGAAAGTTGCCGTTTTTTTTAATTTTGCAACTCATAAAGCCGAATATAATAATAGATACAGATTTGTTCTGAAATTTAAATTTGCAGTCAAAGAAGTTTTTTTATTCAAAATATAAATATAATTTATTTGTATTGAGTAAAAATATATTTTTTAAAGAGCTGTTGATAATTTTTTTGAGTTAAAACGTTTATGTTGGAAACCTTGTTCATTTTAATTATACTTGTTTTGAAATTTTTGGAAAATTCATTAATTACTTGTGTTGGGAAAAATAAGTTACCACCTGAGGCGAACCTCAGTTCAGTTCTATTACGACTGCGGCCTGGGAAATTTCGAAGTCTTAACCAAAAAACCTTTCTGTGCGTCAAGGTTTTGTGAATAGCATTAAGTAAGTAAGTAATAATAATAATAAAGAATTATTCTATTTCTCAAGTTTGTAGTTTTGTTTTGTTAATCCTCACCCTTTCCACTGACACCCTTTAAGAGTAGATTCATTTTAAACAAGAGCAAAATAACTAAACTAAAAAAAATTTGTTTAATTTAAATAATAATTGTAGTTAATTAATTATAATTGTAGTTTATTTCATTTTAATTTTCAGGCATTATATAAAAATGTTGTAAAGCTTAACCTGGAAAATATATTAGTTTTATCATTAAAAGAAATAACTTTAGAATCCCTTTATTTAAGTCCACCGTAAAATTGCAGTAATTGATTCGTATACGTAACTGATTTGGCAAAAAATCAACCTTTCTAGAAACGAGTTATCCCCGACTTAAAATTACTTTTTAAATAAAAAATATTTATATCCCCGGCTGAGAATTAGTTCTCAAATTCAAATTATTTAGGAAAAACTATATTTTACAATTTGTTAGATAATATTTATTAAATGTTGAGAAAATATCCAAACTTTATATGATAATTAACTATTAATTCTTTAATTACAAGAAATATATATTGAAATGTAATATGAATTTAAATATTTGAGAGACGATGTTTCTCAGTCAAAATTCCGAAAACAAGAACTCCCAAGAAGCACGTAATATTACCTCAATATCAAGGTAATATTACATGTAAGATTCGTAATATAACGTTGTTATATTACAGTAATCTTACAGTGATCTTAAAATGTCCGCCTCATGGTAATATTACCGGTAATGTTACTGTAATATTACGCGCTAATATTAAGGTAATATTACAGTAATATTGCAGTAATATTATACCGTAATATTAAGGTAATATTACAAGAGAATATTACAGTAATATTATGGGAACATTTCTTTACGAAAAAAATCTACCCATCCAGGGAATCGAACCCCGAACTCAAAGCACACGAGTCCAGAGTTTTTCCAACAAGCCAAATTGACTTATAATATATTTACGTTTTTTATGCTTTATGAATAACTCAAATCAGTCTGTAATATTACTGTAATATTACCGTAATATTCCCGGTAACCTTGAGGCGGACATTTTAAGATCACTGTAAGATTACTGTAATATTACAGCGTTGTATTATGAATCTCACGTGTAATATTACCTTGATATTGAGGATATATTGCGTGCTTCTTGGGCTGTGATAAGTGAATATTATAATTTATACTTTTTCAAATAAATAATTATCATAAAAATAAATAGAATCCATAATTCAATTATCAACATAAAATTTTCAGTTTTAATATGTAATACATATATGCAATTTTTTACGATAACAAATATCTAAAATTTATTATAAAAAACATTTTATGTCGAAAACTTATCATTTTTAATTTTAAGGATCATTTAGTTATCATTTTTAAATTTAAGTTCTCAAAGATATATTATATTGTAAACATAATAAACTCATATATTAATAATTTGATTTCGTGAAAAACAAACATATAGTGTTGAAATAAATATAAACTTTTAAAAATTGTCGAAGTTTCCTGATTAAACCTGTCCTAACTGACGTTCTGTTACTGCAATCTTAACAACAACAGTCTCAAAACGACAGAAATTCTGACTAATATTTTTTTTAACTTTCTGTGTCTTTATTTTTAGTAGGGCTGACTGATAATAAAACTGCAAAATATGATATTGACGCTTTCATACCCTGAAAAATATAATCAATTTTAATTTTAAATTAATAATTAACATATTTACCGCACTGAATAATTCCACGGAAAGTGTAAAAATTCCACCAAATGCATGAATTGTACAAGGACGACGAAAACTTCGAAACATTACTAAAATTAAAAGCTTTTGCGCTTTTATAGGCATTCTATACCATTGTGCATTGCATCTGATGTAATTAATATTTAATATTATAATTTTATATTAATTTTGTCTTTTATTATAATTAAGTTACTTTTTTTGTTTAGATTTACAAAAAATTTGATAACTTACACTGAATCCCCAATTGCTTCACTAAAATTAATTAATTGCTGTCCTGGAACGGCATTGAAGAAAAAATGTAACACCTGTCCTGAAGCAAAGGGAACCAATTGTATAAATTGATTTAATGATCCTAATCTTACAGCACACTACAAAAATTAAAGTTTAATTTTATTACGGACATTTATAACCGAGAATAAAAAATAATAGAAATCCAGAAAAAATATTTAATTGTCATTTAAAAAAATTAAATATAAATAAAAAATACCTAAAAAAATTATTTAGTAATATTTTTAAATAAATAACCATAGTTAAAAAAGTGGTCCACTTGTTTAAAAATTCCAGCGGTTCAAAATGGGCGAACTGTCTGTACTGACAAATTTGAAAATAAAATAAAAATCCAAAAAATTTTCTTTAATGTATGTATTACAACCGCTATTTCGTAAAATGGAGAGTATATGAACCGCAAGTCAATTTTTTACATAAAAATTTAATTATTTATTTGTTTATAAAAAAAATGAAATTTGAAACATATAGAAAAATTTTTTAAGTGATCTACTAAAGTATATATGGGGCATTCTTTGTCAAAAAAATACCCCCTTTGCCTAAAATAGATTTAATTTAAAAAAGCACTATATTTTGCCTATTTTTTAATGCCATATATGACACTTTTTAAATATTAAATATGGGGACCACAAATGTAAAAAAAACCTGCAATATTATCGAAAAAAGTAATATTTTTTTACTCCAAGGTTAAAACTGATTTTTTTATATAAAAAACTTTTTTGCAAGGGCAAGCGTGGAAATCCGCTACATCAAGGAGGGAATTACAACTCCAAGGATCAGACCGTCTCAAGGAGGCGCAACAATTTCTCCGAGGTGTGCAGGGTTCTACTCCTGCATAGGTCGACCCAGGTCTTCCGTCTTTATCTTTTGTCGACATAACCTTTATGACTTTGGAGCATGACAGAGACCATGGTATCGGGGTTGAATCGATCGAGTCTCATCCGCCGTAAACACGGTTTCTCTATCCTCGCTCCAGTGCTCACGGGAAAATAACGTGTGTTCTGCGTCATCGATTTGAGCATGGCAGTACACGCATTTCGAAGCTTTTCTTATTTTCAATCTATGGAGGTAATGGCCGAAACAACCATGACCAGACAACGCTTGTGTCAGATAATACCCAACTTTGCCGTGCTTTCTATCAAACCAGGTGGCGAGGTGAGGAATCAGGCGGTGTGTCCACCTTTCTTTTAAATCCCCATCCCATCTCTCTTGCCATCTTTTAACGAGATGTTTCCTCGCTTCATTGCGAATAGCCGCCTTTAGGCTATTGCAATTCCCTTGTTTCATTGAGCCCGCTAGGTCCTTCCTTAGCCTGAAGACCTCCTGTCTTTCTCTCGCAAATAAATCTACTGGCGGAGTGCTCGCCGGAACTAGGACTGCACTCATTGAATCCGTTCTGTAGGCTGAAACCACTCTCCGTGCACAGCTTCCGTGCAGGGAGAGCAGTTTATCTAAAATGCCGGATTGCATATCATTATACCGGACCTCCCTGATGCATCCTGAAACCAGTTTGAGAATCCTTGCTTCTTATACTGTTCGCTCACGATCGGTATATCATCTCCTCTCTCCCTGGCAGTCTACATCAGGAGGTCTTGTACGATGCTGCCTCTTCCAAGGTTGACTTGGAGAAAACTTAATTTGCTTTCAGCTTACGAAGTTCCTCCCTATATATTGGGCAGGGCTCAGATCCTGGGTTGTGGTTTGTTTCCTTCACACCTTTTTCCTTACAAGTTAAGCACTTATACTGGCTTTTGCATTCCTTGTGGGAATGGTCTGAAGAACCACACCTCCAGCATGCCTTACTCCTGTCTGGTCCTTTACAGGACTCAGCCACATGTCCTTAGCAAAGGTACCTGAAGAATCTGTTCACTTCCCTGGCAGATTGTATGATGCGAATGCTGCAAGAAATTGGCGGAGCATTCGTAGAGCACGAGATCGAAATTGAAATTTTATCTAAAATTTATAAAAATGATGAATTTGATAATATAATTATTAACATCAATAAGTTTTATACATTTTAATATGATTAATGTTGAATAATTATAAAATTTTTATGTTTTTATTAATTTATTAATTAATTTAATATTAAAAAATATTAATTAATTATTATTTTAATAAAAAATTAATTTCTTTATCAAAAAAAAATTTGAAAAAAATTAATTTTATATGTAAATAATGGTGAAAAAAATGTATTATTTCATCAAAAAAATTCATTTATTAATCAAAGAAATTGGTAAAAAATACATTTTTTATCAAAAAAATTGATGAAAATTTATACTTTTTACCTAAAACATTGAACCCAAAAATTAATTTTTTATTAACTTCTTTCTGAAACCTGTTACCCCTTGGTTTTTCCTGAGATCAATAAGCAACTCCTGCTTCTTTTTTCTTCTGATTGCCAGGACCTCGGCTCTGGTCTCGAAGGGGTTGACCGACGTCTTCAATTGCTTCAGGATGTCGGCGTAGGATTCATTTCTCTTCGTCGTCACCGTGATAGCCTCCGTACTCCTCAGTTATTTTGAGGAAGAGGCTTTTTTACCTTCGTTTTCCTTATTCTCTTTTTTTGAGGATACTTTTATCCACTTCCCCTTAGCATTGACTTTTTCCGTCTAAGGTTCAGTGACAGGCAAGAATTTTGCTTCCTGTTGAATTTCCTCAAAAGTCCTCTTCTTCGACACTCTCTCTATTGGATAGGTCGAAGCTCCCCTTTTCAGGGCTTGTGCCGAGGGGTGTTGTCCCCCCCGCTTGAACTGGGGTGTCCCTGTAGTTCTAGGGGTGTTGCTCTAAGCACTTTTTTTGGTTTTCGTCCTAGGTGTACTCAGCTTTTCTAAAGTTCTTTGGAGTTTACCAGCCAAGCACCCGACGGCAAGGCCCGCATTTTTTGCCGTGCTGTACACTTCTTTGGCCACCTTAACTCTTTCTTTGAGTTCATTTGGGGTATTTTTAATGAACGCCCCTTCAATATCATGAATGGCCTTATCTAGGCTTCCATTCTTCCTTTGAGTTTCTCCACAATATCAAGCAGCAGCTTGCATGGTCCTACCCACAAGGGCGTGGAGGAACCTCTCCTGTTTCCTCTGACAGAAATTCTTGTCTGCTGCACTGCCGAAGCTATAGTACCAATTACCCCTTCATTATTTTCAGAGGGGCCTGATAAACTTCGGCTGTTACCTCAAATTCTTTAGGAATTTGAGGGGGTTTTTCCAGATCAATTGTTTTTTGAGAATCCATTTAGTTTGTTTCACCAGCGCATCGTCTGTGGAGGGGCAAGTCGCCTAAGGTGAGAACGCCCCTCTGGGGCTCACCAAGCGCCTCTTCGTGTCCATGGTCTGTCAGGGAGTAAAAAGCATATAACAAGAAAACAAAATAAAAGTCGTAAAATAAATAAATAAAACATAAAATAAACAAATAAATAACGATTAGGACAAAACAAAATAAATAAAAACAAGACGAAAAAGAAAAGAAAAAAAGGAAATGAAGATATAAAAAAACAAAAAATTAAATAAAAAATCAAAACGGATAAAAATAAAATAATAAATTAAAAAACGAAGAGTAGGAATCAGCGAGAAACAGGAAGAAAGGAGTCCCCCCTTTTTTCAGGTTATGGTCCGGACCACGCAGGGCGCCGAAACCCCTCTAATGCAGGACAGAAACCCGAAATTTGACCCGTCCGAGAGTCCTACAGTCTCCTCTACCGAGACGGATAACCAGCGTCCCCATCCGCAAGACAGGTTTAACTGCCATTCCTTAGAACCCCCAGTGACTCCGGGATTTTATCCCCGCGCTAGGAAGGTCTCTGCCCTCGTTTGGCAACCAACCCTGGCGGATTCGATTTGCGTAATGTCTACTTAACTAAGCGGACTTTAGGTAGACATTAGGTAGACATGTAAAAAAACGTATAAAAAAGCTATTAATCGACTTATTATGATAAAAAAAAGTTGATAAAAGGGTAAATGAATGTTTATAGAGTAAATTCGTACAAAATTTGTAATTAATAAAGCAATAAATAATTAATAATGAATGGAAATGTGCGCGAGGTACCTGATCAGTTCAGCTGTACAATTATTTTCGTGCTACTTTCATGAAGAGAATATAAATTAACTGCAAAAACAATTGATATTTATAAAAAAGTGTAAAATTGATTTAATTTTATTGTTTGCAATACGAATTATTAAATAATAATTAAGTTTTTATCAAATGTGAATAGTGTTGTGAAAACCTGTGAAAACTAATGAGTTACTACATTACCGATCGCATATGAGAGATGGCGCCACCAGTTTTTACAATACAGTGCGAGCATGTTTTCTTCCAAGCTTTTGCTTTGAAAGAAAATAAAAAGTGAATTTTAAAATGCAGAATAAAGTTATACAAATAATTATTGATTTCATAATTGTTTCTCGTCCAAAATTACGGACATGATTGCAGCTTTTTTGTTACACTCATCGAGAACTTTTTATTATCATATGCGATCGGTAATGTAGTAACTCATTAGTTTTCACAGGTTTTCACAACACTATTCACATTTGATAAAAACTTAATTATTATTTAATAATTCGTATTGCAAACAATAAAATTAAATCAATTTTACACTTTTTTATAAATATCAATTGTTTTTGCAGTTAATTTATATTCTTTTCATGAAAATAGCACGAAAATAATTGTACAGCTGAACTGATCAGGTACCTCGCGCACATTTCCATTCATTATTAATTATTTATTGCTTTATTAATTACAAATTTTGTACGAATTTACTCTATAAACATTCATTTACCCTTTTATCAACTTTTTTTTATCATAATAAGTCGATTAATAGCTTTTTTATACGTTTTTTTACATGTCTACCTAATGTCTACCTAAAGTCCGCTTAGTTAAGTAGACATTACGCAAATCGAATCCGCCAGGGAAGTGCATTTAAGCCACAAGGTTGATACCGCACAAGCAGCAGAGCATCCTCTGGATTCAGGAGGCCGCAGGTGCAAGGACAGGACAAATACAAGAGTCCGACCAGCAGTCGAAGGGATCAGACCCCGAGTGCTCTACCGATCACCAATTTCTTTTCCTCCTCTCCCCCCCCCTTCATCCTCCTCCCCTTCACTAATATTTATACTTTCCATGAAATAACCCCCTCCCTTAGACCGTCCATTTCCTTTCCCTATCCTCTCCTTTCCTTTTGCTGGTTTTAATATCCACTTCGGATTTACAACCAACTTGGTATACCTTGATCACCCTTTCCGCCACCCGGGAAAGCGCCCGATAAGAGACCAGCAAACCCCACACGGGATATAAAAATCTATTACCGGTATAAAAATCTACATTATCGACTGATGGTAAAAGCAAGAAAATGATAATATAAAAATTACCGACATAGAAATCTATATTACAGAGTGATGGTAAAACAGGAAAATGAAAATATAAAAATTATCGAAATATAAATCTACATTACCGACTGATGGTAAACCAGGAAAATTGAAAATATAAAAATACTGACATAGAAATTTACATTACCGAATGACCGAAATGTAGAATTCCATGTCAATAATTTTTTATATTTTCATTTTCCTGTTTTACAATCAATCGGGAATGTATATTTTTGTGATGGCAATTTTTTATATCATCATATTCCTACTTTTACCATCAGTCGATGATGTTATTAATATCTTTGTTATCAAGTATCTTAAAAACTTTGTGTGGTGAATTTTTATTTAAAAAGTCATTAATATTGTATTTAAAAAAATAATACTTTTTTCGATAATATTAAAGTTTTTTTTAACCTTAACTGGTCGCCATAGTCTGATCATTTTTTAGCCATTTTTAAAGGTAGCGATATGTAGAAAATTTTGGTCATATGCAAAATGTATAAATAAAAATTTTTTGAAAGTTTCACATTTTTTTGAAAATCGGTATATATTCTTCCAACGGATATTATTAATAACACAGCCCCACAAAAAAAAGTGTCATGTACTTTTGACCGGAATACCCTAACCCTATGTATTTTGACGCGCTGAGCACGAATCCGAAGTCCGTTTTGCTCCATCACGTCAGGATTTTTTTCTAACCTCAAAAAACATGTCCAATTTTGAGAAGTAGGCGATTTTTTTAAAAATTGATGTATTAACTTCAAACTTGGTATCTGGGGGTTTTTTGTTTTTCTGATTACGAATCTGAAGTTAGATTTTCAAAATCAAAAATGGCGGATCCAATATGGCGGACGAATTTTGAAAAAATTTTAAGATTTACTTCAAACTTGGTATCTAGGGGTTTTTTCGGTCGCTGATTACGAATCTGATGTCAGATTTCCGAAATTCGATATGTCTGATTCAATATTAAGGAATTATTTTTAAAAAACTGTCAGATTATTATGAAATTTGGTATCTACAGGTTTTCTAAGTTGCTGACAAGTAACACTAGGGAAGTGCCATACGCCGATTTTTCTGAAACTTGGCAGTTTTGTAGTTTTTTGAAAACAATTTGACACGTATGTTTTGTTTTTCCCCAAAAGCTGATTTATGGGGGGGAAATACCCCTTGAATTTTTTTTGGTAGGGGGACATTATTTTACGAAATTTTTCAAAAATTAATGTGCAATAGTGTATCTGGGGGTTTTTTGGGTCACTGATTACGAATCTGATGTCAGATTTCAAAAATTCAAAATGGCATATCCAACATGGACTTCTATCGGCCACATTAGATACGCCATTATCAATTTTTGAAAACTGACATCAGATTCGTAATCAGCGACCCAAAAAACCCCTAGATACCAAGTTTGAAGTAAATCTTAAAATTTTTTCAAAATTCGTCCGCCATATTGGATCCGCCATTTTTGATTTTGAAAATCTAACTTCAGATTCGTAATCAGCAAAACAAAAAACCCCCAGATACCAAGTTTGAAGTTAATACATCAATTTTTAAAAAAATCGCCTACTTCTCAAAATCCGACATGTTTTTTGAGGTTAGAAAAAAATCCTGACGTGATGGAGCAAAACGGACTTCGGATTCGTGCGTTCAGCGCGTCAAAATACATAGGGTTAGGGTATTCTGGTCAAAAGTACATGACACTTTTTTTTTTGTGGGGCTGTGTAATAATATATTTTAATTTTTTCAATGTCAATTATTTTTTTTTCATGGAATCTGCATTTACAAATATAAAGGCCCTTAATTAAGTTCAGATTTTGAATTTTTTAGTGACATTGATCTAATTTTATTCAAATGAATGTTTAAATTTAGTACAATGTCGATGATTCTTAGAATGAATTAAAAAAAATTTGTCTCTTAATACCACATATCCGGTTGCGCTCAATAATACCATATTCATTCCTACTTCAATAAATAATGCAACTCCATAAATAGATTTGATACATTCAGCACATCTAAAAAAAATGAACAAATATGAATAAAATTGTTATTTTCAAATTATATTTAATTGTCACTCAATAAATACTTGATTGCTTTTCGATGATAAGCAATGCAAAGTGAAACTTGTTTTGTAATTTGTTCATCTGTTATGAATGTATGAGTTTCGGAATATTCCAAATCAAAAATATTCATAATATTTTCTATTCGATTCCTGCACATTAAAATTAATTATATTGTCTAAATTACAAATATGGCTCAAAATTTCTGAAATGAGTCACTAATTTTTGGATAGCGAGATTTTTATATGTCATATCAATAATTTTATAGCATTTTCAAATCAAAATAAGATCCTAAAGTTGTTTTGCAAAAATTTTAATTATTTTAAGAGTTATTGTTCAAACAATTTTTATAAGCATCCAATTAGTAAAGAAAAGCATTTTCTACGGTTCTATTCGATGGATTTTGCTAAAATTTTGTATGAGTAATGTACCACGTATTTGTTTTTGTTTTTTGGAAAAAAAATTTTCAATTGTTCATTTAATGTTAAAGTTGCAAAAATTTTGTTTTCCTTCTTAAAACCAGCGAAACTTTTTAGAAAAGGCGATTATTACCCATTTTTTTATTTAAGATGCAAAATCAATTACCAGTTCAATAGTTATTATAAATTAATTATTTTTAATTGTTTAAACAAGTTTTATGAACAATTTTTTTTTATTTAAGTTTCTAATTACGAAATTGATGACATATTGAGCGAAATGTGCAATATTATTAGTCAAGGTGAACAACAAATTTCACACAAGTGCAAAAGAATTTGTTAAATGTTGTATATTCAAATGGGTTCACAATAAGACGTCTTTTTGTGAAAAATTTTATAAAATTAATTATCCAAACAAAATAATATTAGTCATATTAGTCTTTTAGTATAAACATTCTCATTTTCCGTTTAATGTTAAAACATAACCTTAAAATTTAATCATTAAAAATTGTATTTCCTTTTTATAAAATCATTAAATTTCACTAAGATTACTGATTAAAAGTATCGCAAGATAACAAAAAAAATCAACTTAGAAAATATTAAATCTGTCATTTTTACAACTTTTTTAATTTAAGATTTTTGTTGTTATAAATAAATAAATTGCTAAAATGACAGAATGACTTTAACCAAATTAAAATGGAAGTTTGTTTTTTTTCAAAACAAGTTATTTGTAGAATTCGCGTATATGGCACCGAAACTATTGTAAAATGCGCAGAAAATTCCTTTCATGTAGGTAACATTAATCTTATACAAATTCTTGTATAGGTCACTGGGGTCAAAACGCGTTTTTGTTATTTAGAAATTACTCTTTTATAATTGACAGTTTAAAGTTTACACTACAAGTATATTAATTTGTCTAATAGTCAAGTTTAACGACAATTTCTACATTTCAGCATCACGTAATATATTTATATTCGTTTTAACTTAAATTAGTAATAGAATATGATCTAAACTTATTGGACCATCATGCGTGCGACTCACATGCGTCGCATATGAGGACGCATCTGTTTGGTCCAGTGAAAGCACGCGTACGGGTTGAACGGCACGCGTGCTAGCTACATGTCTGATACTGTGAGCGCATTTTGCTATCTGGGACTGATTACATTATCCAAAAAAAATTTAACTCTCTAGGTGAATACGTTAACATTTTTCGTCCTTGTTGACTTAATAATCGCCTTTTTTACAAAGTTTTGAGGAAAAAATAATTTTTCAACTTTAACATTAAATAAACAATTGAAAAAAAATTGTAGGCTCTATGTTAATTTGTTCACGGCCGTGTTTTTCGTCCCACTGTAGCAGTTAGTTGGAGGAGCGCGATAACAAATATATTAATAACTTTTGACCTAATGCAATAAACTGACTTTTCTTTTTTTGAAATACTCGTGTTGAAATAAAGAATTCACAAGAAAAAATACGAAATTAGGCACAGAAGTTTATTATATTTTCATTTGTTTATAATAATTATTGCTATTTTAAACAAATTATAGACAAAATCAAATTTTTTGTTTGAAAGCAATATGATTATTGTATATTACTCATACCAAATTTTAGCAAAATCCATCAAATAGAACCGTAGAAAAGCTTTTTTTACTAATTGGATGCTTATAAAAATTGTGTAAACAATAACTCTTAAAAAAATTAAAATTTTGCAAAACAACTTTAGGATCTTATTTTGATTCGAAAATAATGCTTTAAAAAATAATTGATATGACATATATAAATCTCGTCATCGAAAAATTAGTGGCTCATTTCAGAAATATTGGGTCAGATATTGTAAATTTAGAATTTAAGTAATACAAATAAAATTATTTTTTGTATACCGTAAAATGGAGAATATTCCACAAACGTGTTCAACATACTTTACGTAAAGTGCATCTACACAAATTACGGTTGTTATATTTAAAATAAAACAAAATTGCTCGTGAAATAAAAGAGTATAAAAATATTCATCATCATCTACTAAATAATTTGATCTATAAACCCTTCTTTTTGGACGAGATTCATTTAATGGTTTAATAATATCAAGTATTTGTGGAACATATGAAGACATTAAATAAATGCACATTGATGAATACACAACAGCTGTAAATAATTTATTCAATTGTCTTTAGTAATTTAATGTGTATTTTCATTTTCGAAGGCTAAATATTTAAAAATTTGTACTCGATGATATTTATAATTATATTGATGCAGAATAGTTTACTTTTGTCGATAAATATTTTACTTATAAATTAAAATTCTCTTTTAATGTTTAATTTTCAAAACGCTTAAATTAAAGGAAAAATTACTTGATTCTAAAAGTGTTATCAAAGGACTTTTTGAAAAATTACCGGCATATGTTATAACAACCAATTTCCCTGTTTCTGAAAATTTTTGCAGTGTCTGAATTTCTGTATCTGACATCATTGTCCAATTTGATTTAAAACGATTAAGAAGGTCTTTCATCTATTTTTATAAAAAATAAATCAAAAAATAAATATTATTATATTTTTTGAAATTGTTTTAATAATTGATAAACACACACCTTTTTTTTGTTGTAGACGCAATTTAATAATTTTATCATTATTCCCACGTTGGTTATGATAATAGTTACATTATTTATTAATTCATCAAAATTAAGTTCTAACGTTGAAAGTCCAATTATCTGTTAAATTAACTTATTATTAAAAAATTAACAGTTAATTGTTAAATTTCTACAGTAAATGCATTTTTTAAACACTGATAGATCCCTAATAACACAAGATATCTTGGGATATATTGATAATATCCCGCAGATATCCTAGGGATATCCTATGGATATCAAAAGGATCTCTTAAGGATATCCAAAAAATCGACGGTTTGGATATCCTTTGGATATCCCATGGATATCTGAGGATATCCACAGGATATCTTCTGGATATCTCTATAGACTTTCATAAATGTCCTCCAGATATCCCATAGATATCGTCAGGATATCCCACAGATATCATCAGGATATCCCACAGATATTTTCAGGATATTCTCAGTATATCTTCTGGATGTCAAGAAGATATTCTCAGGATACTGTTTTTAAAGTCATTATGAGACTACGAGTGTGAATAAAAAATAAAATGCAACTTGTTTTCGAGAAAGTTGTTTAATTTGAAAAATTATTAACTAATTTTTTTCTCATTCGTGATTCATTCCTTTATTTATATCCTTAATATTGTCAGAAAATAAATTGGCTTTAAACAATATAAATTCTTCCCCGCAAATAACGAATAACTATTAATATTAATTATACATTAAGTGCATGAGTTTATTTAAAAACTTTGAAAAATGCGTTTCAAATCTTCATTTAAAATAAATTAGAAGCTCATAAGATTTTTGTTTTTATTATATTATTATTTATTATATTAGCTTAACAATTTTAACCTTTAAAAATATATGTTGAGATATTAAATATCCCGTGAATATCCTAAGAATATCCCACGGACATCCTGAGGATACCCCATGGTTATCCTGCGATATAATATCCAATAGATATTTTGTGGATGTCTTAGGGATATCCTGTGGATATCCTCTGGATGTCCTGTTGATGTCCCACAGACCGGCGGTTTGGATATCCTAGGGATATCTCAAGATATCCTTGGGACCATTCTAGGATATCGACCATTGATATGGATATCCTATGGATATCCTAGGGATATCCTTTTGTTATGAGGGGTAACACAGCCACACAAAAAAAGGTTTTGATCTGGGGATTTGACTATGCCTACTGTATGTTTTTTGGGTCGCTAAATCCGAATTCGAGGTCCGTTTTACCTCTATCATATCAGGATTTTGAGATAACCTCAAAAAACCAATATGGCGGACACTTATTCGAAAAATTCATCGGATTTGCCTGAAACTCGTTACTCGGAGGTTTTTGGGGTCGCTGATCACGAATCTGATGTCAGTTTTTCAAAATTCAAAATGGCGGACACTTTTTCGAAAAATGCCGTCATGGCAGATACACTTAAGAAATTTGTTACGATGCCATCTTGAATTTTTGAAAACTGACTTCAAATTCGTAATCAGCGACTCCGAAAACCCCCGAGTAACGCGAGTTTCAGGCGATTCCGATGAATTTTTCGAAAAAGTGTCCGCCATTTTGAATTTTTAAAAACTGACTTCAGATTCGTAATCAGCGACCCCAAAAACCCCCGAGCAACTAGTTTCAAGCAAATTTCATTAAGTTTTCAAAAAGTCGTACGCCATATTGGATCCGCCATTTTGAATTATTAAAAATTGACTTCAGATTCGTAATCAGCGACCCGTAAACCCCCGAGTAACAAGTTTTAAGCAAATTTCGTGGATTTTTAAAATTTTTTGGTTGCCATATTGGATCCGCCATTTTGAATTTTTTAAAACTGACATCAGATTCGTGATCAGCGACCCTAAAAACCTCCGTGTAACGAGTTTCAGGCAAATCCGATAAATTTTTCGAAAATGTGTTAGCCATTTTGGATCCGCCATTTTGAATTTTGAAAAACTGACATTAGATTCGTGATCAGCGACCCCAAAAACCCCCGAGTATTGAGTTTTAGGCAAATACGATGAATTTTTCGAAAAAATGTCCGCCATATTGGTTTTTTGAGGTTATCTCAAAATCCTGATCTGATGGGGTAAAACGGATCTCGAATTCGGATTCAGCGACCCAAAAAACATAAAGTAGGCATAGTCAGACCCCCAGATCAAAACCTTTTTTTTGTGTGTGTGGCTGTGTAATTAATATTGCAGAAGAAATTTTGAAAAATTATTTTATAAATTTATTTTATACTTTGAAAATGATATATGTAAAATTAAACGTTTGTTATACTTTATAAGATAATCAGTTGTATATATTTAAATTGCTAAACGATATAATGTTTTTGAAAAGTAAAAAAAATTTAACTCTTAATTTATTACCGTGACCGAAATGAAAGTTGAGTTTAGGAATATATAAATAGATGAAATAATAATTTTTTCCGCTTTCGTTTGATAAGGCCATTGTCCAATAATACAAGAGAAAATTTTAGTGAATCTGAAGCAACTATTATCAAAGAAGTCCATATCTTATAACAGTAGTACAATATTAAATGAATTAAGTTTCCTCTGCTTTGGGCTATAGACATAGAAGTTATGATAAGGCGAGTAAAAGATTTATTATTCATGGAATATTATCAAGAAAATGAAATATTCTAGGAAAGTAATTTAAATGTAGTATAGAAACATTGTCAGGACTATAGTTTGTAATAATTTTAGATTCATGGAAATTGACATTTATACAATTCCTGCAGAAAAATTGTCGAAGGAAAAGAGGATACACTTATTCGTACTATTATTGATTTCTAGTCATTTCAAACTTTATCTCCGTCAGTGAAACATCGCGAAAGGATATTTCATGTGCAGAGTTTTATCATTAAAGGAAATAATTTTAGAATTACTTTACTTAAGTCCAATGTAAAATTGCTGTAAATAATTCATATATAGAGACGCATAATTATGTTCTAAAAATCATTAGTTAGCATTTTCATTTTATGGAATTTCATTTGTCATAATTATTTTTGAGACAAATTTTTATTTGTTCGAATTAGTATTTTGCAGAATTTTCATCAAAACAATTTTCTATATTACACAATTTTTATATAACCGAAAATTCACTTCACAGATTTTTCAATTGTTCGAATTTTTATTTCCTCGAATTTTGATTTAACATAATAGGCATTTTAAAGAATTTTTATTGGGTAGAATTTCATTAAATAAAATTTTCTTTCAGATGAATTTTTATTTGTTAGAATTATTATTTGATATAATTTTCATATAAGCGATTTTCCATACTACAGAATTTTTATTTAACCGAAAAGTTATTTAACAAAATTTCTAATTGATAGAATTAGTTCTAAAAGTTAAATGATGTAATTTATAGGAACTTCTAATATGAATCATCAATCATCAATAATAAAGCAATACAAGAAATTATTTTATTTTGTAGTAATTTTCAAAATTTTCAAAAGGTTACAAACTCTCAAACTGGTCTAATCTGTGAAATTTCCCATACGGGATTATTTATTTTTTTGATGTATTCCAGTTAATGTTTTGTTGAACATAATTTAACAGAGTTGACACGAAAAAAATTCGAAATTTCAAATTTCATGACTTTTCCAGGTTTTCAAGACCATTTAAAAAAAATTCCAGATCCTAATAATAAATCTATTTTGATGAATTTTTAATCTCTTACATCAATAAATACAAAATATTTCAATTAAGTTAATAATAAAATATTCTGTAAATTAATTTCTTGCAAGAAACCGCAAAATGAAATTATTCAAATTAAAAATGATTTTTTTCTATGTTTCGACGTCAACAAAATCTAATTTCTACTTAACCCTTTTGCTGTATGGTGGGACGCTGAGCGCCCCAACTTTTTTTTGTTTTTTAATTTTTTTAGTAAAAAATAACCAATAGAAGTCGAAATTTTTTATGTTTCCAGACCTAATAGCATACAAATAAGAAAAAATTTTTTTTGTTTAAAAAATTAATAAAAACAAATTTGTTTAACTTTCAGAAAACAACAAAATTAGTACTTTTTAAAATAAAAATGCATTTTCTGTTAACCTATAATGAAAATTAAGTTATAATTTTTTTTACAATCAGAAACGTCTAAAATTATTTTTAGAATTTTTTCCACATATTCTGCATTTTATTTTTTTAAACAAATTGATTTTTCTTTAAAAAAATTATAAGAAATTAATATTTGACCGACAAATTTTTAAAAATTCACTTAAAACATGTTATTTTTGGGTTTTCCGGGTCGCTGATAACGAATTCGGTGTCAGATTTTAAAAATTCAAAATTGCGGATCCAATATGGCAGACGACTTTTAAAAAATCAAATGCAATTCGCTTAAAACTTCTTATTCAGGGGTTTTGTGGATCGTTGATTACGAATCCGTTGTCTATTTTTAAAAATTCAAAATGGCGGATCCAATATGTCGGACGACTTTTAGAAAATTAAATGCAATTCGCTTGAAACTTGTTACTCGGGGGTTTTTGGGGTCGCTGATTTCGAATCTGATGTAAGTTTTTCAAAATTTAAAATATCGGATCCAATATGGCAGACAGGAAAATTAAAAATTAATTCAACCTACTAATATAAAATTCGTAATCAGTGACCTTGAAAACTCCTGAATAACGAGTTTCAATCAAAACCGTCAAATTTCAAAAAATATATCCGCCATATTGGTTCCGCCATTTTGAATTTTGAAAAAGTAACATCCAATTTGTAATCATCGATCCCAAAAACTCCCGAGAAACGATTTTCAAGCGATACCGAACGATTTTTTTAAAATTCTTCCACCATATTGGATCGGCCATTTTGAATTTTGAAAAACGGACACCGGATTCGTAATCAGCGACCCAGAAAACCCCCGTGTAAGAAGTTTATAAAGTAAAATTCATAATGAATGGAATTTTCTTAACGAAGAATTTTTCAATTGATTTTACATTTAATAAAATTTCTATTTATCTGATTTTTCATCTATCTACTTGAGCAAATTTTTATTTAACAGAATTTTTTTTAAACAAAATTTAAATGTAAAGGAATTTTTACTGATATTTATTTCAAAGAATTTCTAATTAATAGAATTTTTATTTAATTAAATTTTTCTATTGATTTAATTTTACTTATCTGAATTTTTATTTAATCGAATTTTCACTTGTCTTAATTTTTATTTAGCAGAAGTTTTATTTAGTTAATTTTCTATTTCAACTAATTTTTAATTAATAGATAGAATTCGCTTTTATAAAAACTCTATACGAAATGAAAATTCGATTGAATCAAGCTTCGGATCGACTTTAAAGAACAAAAAAGTCTCTTAAAAAATTTATCCAAGGTCAATATTCTTCATTAAATTGAGTCAAATAATTAAAAAAAGTTTTGAAATAAATATATTTTCAATAAATATTAAAAACTAAATTTGTTTTATTTACTACTTTATCATATAAAAACTTAATAACAAACCAAATATTTGTGATAAATAAAATAGAATTCTTTATTAAGAATAATTCATTAAAATATTTTTAAAAAATGTTATTTAGAATATTTCAAAATTTAATTGAGAAAAATTTTCAAAATTTTTGGATTAAAAAAAATTCATGATTATTTTTTTTTAACCATTTTTAACCCTTAACTGATACTATGGGTCCAGTAGACCATTTTATTTTGCAAGTCTTGCTGTTGTTTGTTATAAAGAAATTAAAGATTAATATTATCAATAATAATTTAATTTATTAGAATATTATTACATATTAAATGATAATAATGAAAATTATATGTTTACAGGCCTCGGATTATATGACTTTTTCCGACTTTTTTCAAAAATACGACTTTTATCGACTTCTTTTAATAAAATGCGACATTTTTTTTTACATTTGAAAAAAAAGTAAATAAAATACATTTTTCTAGTATAAAATGTAGATCTTCAGATCTTCTTCAATTCAATTATTTAACAAATTTTGAACTAAAATGATTCTTCACTAAATTAAGTATTTTTAATAATTTTAATGAAATACATCACAAATTCAATTATATCAAAATTATTTTTCAATTCAAATTTTTATGAAATTTAACAATTGTTTATAATTTAAAAAAAAAATATCACAATAAAATTGAATTATTTTTTAAAAATTTCAATTCAAAATAAACTAAAATTCAATTATTACCCGAAATTTTAATTCAAAATCAATTAAAAATCCAATAATTATCCACAATTTTTAATTTGAAATTTAATTATTTATCAAGTTTTCAATTTAAAATTAAATAAAATTCAATTATTTTCTAAAATTTCTATTCAAAATTAATTATCCAAATTTTCAATCAAAAATGAACTTAAATTAAATTATTATCCAAAATTTCAATTAAAATTCAATTATTTCCCAAAATTTTCAATTTAAAATGAACTGAATTTCAATTATTTTCCAAATTTAAAATAAAATAAAATTTCATTATTCTCAAAAATTTGAATTCATAATTAATTGAATTTTCAATAATTTGAATTTAAAAGCATCTAAAATTTAATTATTTCTAAAATTTTCCATCGAAAATTTTTTTTTTGAAATTTAATAATTTCAATTATAACTCTAAAGAAATTCAATTATTTTAAACTATTTTAATAATATTCTTTGAAAATTCAACTATCTGAAACCATTTTTCAATTAAAAATGATTTTCAAATTATTGTATTTTGTCCGCATTTTCTAATAAATTTTTAGTGAAATCATTTAAAATTTTAATTACAAAACACTTAAAGTTTCAATTAATTTTAAAAATCTCAATTTTAAATCTTTGAAAATTCAATTAAATTTAAAAAATGTTTTCCAAAAATTGTTTGATAAATTATTTTTAGTTCTGTAAAATTTAATAATTGTTTGAAAATTAACAATATCTTTTGAAATTTTAATTATTTCTAAAAATTTTAACTTTAACCCTTCGAAAAGGATTATTATTTTAAAAAAAATTTTTTTTTTTAAAAATCTTTAAAATATTTTTGTTAAAATAAAAAACAAATCCACTTTTTTGGAATATAAACTTTAAAGAAACTTATTCCGTTTGGAAACACAATTATACAACTTTGGCATTTCAAAGAAAACAGACTTAAAAATCATACCAAATTTTGTTCTTATTCTTTATGACTCCCATAACAGAAATTCACTTGAATTTTTGATTTTTGTTAATTTGGTTAATAATGACAAGCTGTCCCCATTTACCCCAAAAATTTGAAAACTCAGGGTAAATGGGGACAGCTTGTCATTATTAACGAAATTGACAATAATCAAAAATTCAAGAGAATTTCTGTTATAAGAGTCATAAGGAATAAGAAAAAAAATTTGGTATGATTTTGAAGTCTGTTTTCTTTGAAATGCGAGACAAAATACTAAAATAGTTTGACTTTGATTTTCAAGTTTTTATGCATTGAGCGATAACTTTTTTTATCTTGCTGCCAATTGTCAAGATAAAAGCTTGGCAATAATCAAAACCTCTTGTAGGTGATCTGAGGTAAAAATATTGACGTTGAAGTTAATTTTAAAAACTGTAAATTAAGCTCCAAAACCTTTTGTCCCCATTTACCCCAACCGACCCTACAGCATATTTTTTTATTCATTCGTACAATAGATAAAAAAATGTTTCAAAAATACACTGCCGTTGATGACGTTAAAATTTAAAAAATCATAACTTCCTTCATTTTTTTTATCAAATTAAAAAATAAGTATTTTCTTATTTTTCATATAGATTTCGAAAAAAAAATGTTTTGGGAAAAAAAAATTTTTTGAATGGAAATTTCCCGTGGAATTCCCCATATGAAAAACGTGATAAAAAATTTTTTAAAAATATATTTTGATATATGAAATAATATAAGAAAATACATAAAAATGTATATATTGTAAAATAAATAAAAAAAAATTTTATTCAACAGGAACACATGGTCACATGAAATGTCACTTTGATGGTCAATTGAAATCACAAGACACTGTGCTGATGAAACTCTACAAGAGAGTTTTTCCTAAATGGAAGTATGAAACCTACTTCCCAACGATTTCATCGAATTTCATTGATGAAGAAATGAAATAAAGTTGAAGAAAATTAAAAATGGTTATTTTGCAAATTAATAAATATAAAAAAAAATTATAATTTAGTATTAAGTACTTTTTTTTCACTATTTTTCGAAAAATTATATTATTTTCTAATTGGAAAAAATAAAAATACTACGAATAAATATGATAATTATTTTACTGTATAAATTACTATTTTTAATACACAACTTACATACATTTAATTGCAATTCATTTGCTTTGAATTCACGTCTGCATAAATGAATAAACTAGTAACAAAAAAAAAAAATAATAATAAAGTAAAAAAAATTTAATCGAATGTTTTCGAACATGCATGTGTACTAATACGTATTTACAAATAGGCATTAAATTATATTTAAGACCGACGTTTTTTCTCTCAAGTGGAAAGATAAAGTCTATGATAGTCATTGGCCCCAAAGGCACAATTGCATTTTGGACATTTGCGTTGTCGTGTTTCGTAACGTGTGCGCAAACAATCCCAACAAAATACATGAAAGCATTTTGTTAAAACAGCATCTTTTCTCTTCACTTTGCACGAGGGACATGTCAACGTTTCTTTGTACTCTCGGAGTTCTTCGGCCATCACTTCATCCACCGTCTCCGCCAATTCAATCTTCTTCATTCGTTCCACCTTTCGTCGTAGTTGCGCTATTTCCTCCTAGAAATTTAAAGAAAAATAATGATTAAATTAAATAAATTACTAGATAAATAAATAAAATAAATCATCTACTTCAGTGAAATGAAATTATTAATGTTAATAAATTTATATTATTAATATTAATAATATAGAAATAGTTTTTATATTCTAAAAAAAAAATGCGAATTAATAAGTAGACAATGTTAACTATAGAAAAATATATTTACCTGTAAACGCTTCGTTTTATATGCTTCAGCTTCAAGAGAACTGGTTTTTTCAGCAACAACTTGCTGTGCTTCTTTCATTTGAGAATGGTATTTTTCTAAAAAAAAAAAACAATTAAAAATATGTTTAACTGCAAATTTCTCAAGCTCGTCTAAGAAAAAGACTGAAAAATAAGAATTAATCTAATAATAATTACCTAAATGAAGTTTAAGATCAGCAGCAGATTGGGCACTTTCAATTGCTTTTCGCTTGTGCATTTCCATGGCTTGTTGTCTCAGTGCAAGTTCTTTTTCCACAGTTGCTAGAGAATTTTGTAATAGACGTTCTTTCTCTTCTAATTTTCGTACAACGACATTAGCAGCTTCTACCTGTGTTGTCAATGTTGTTACTTGCTCCTTTAGGACATCTTTTTCTTCTCTGAAAAACGTTGATCATTAAAATTAATGAGACATTCCAGCGAGAAATAGTTTTAAAAAATTTATTTATTAAAAACAAATCAATGTTTAGGTTTTATCTTTTTTTTTTTTATTTTTCTCTTTATTAAAATATTTACTTAACTGAATTGTCATTGAATATATCCACAATTAACAGAATTTCTATTTAACAAAATTCTTAATTAACAAAGTTTTTATTAAAGAAAATTTTAATTCGTACTAATTCTTACTTAACAAAATTCTCATTTAAAAAAAAAATTCTACTAAGTTCTTCTTTTTTTTTGTTAATTTTTCTAGACATAAATTTCGTTAAATTGAAATTATATTAATTTAAAATTTTTAAAGAAGTATTAGAAACAATGCTTTATAAGAGTTCTGCTAAATAGAAATTAAATCGAATTTTAGTTAAATGTAAATTGAAAATTTTGCATAATATAAAATCTACTTTATATAAGTTTGCTAAATAGAAATTCGATAATTTAAGATTCGACGCAGTAAAAATTTTTATAAGTTAAATGTGGGTATTAGCATTAAATAAGAAAATAATTATTCTTATTAATGAATAATTTACTTTATTTGAAGTTGAACCGGTAAAATAAAATTGTAACAAATAATTTTTATTTATATTAAAAAACCAAATATTTCACTGAAAAAAAATAATTAATTCTTTAAAGTTCAGAAAATCATTTATTAGATTCAATAAATAGTAGTAAATAATTATTAACTTAATAAATATAAGATATATCACATTTGCTTAATAATTGAGTGTAAAGGCCAAATTTTTAATTTGCATTTGCTTTGGAAAAAAAGGAAAAAAAAAATTTCAAACTAATAGTGGGACGTATTATTATGTTCTAAAAATCATTATTTAGAATTTTTATTTTATGGAATTTCATTTGTCATCATTATTTTTGAGCCGATTTTTCATACTACAGAATTTTTATATATAAGATAGAATTTTCATTTGTCCGAAATTGGAAATGGCCAAACAAACAATAGTCTGACAGATTTTGGTGCGATTTTTAAAATCAATCAATCAATCAATCAAAAATTATCCATAAAAATTGTGATTGGTTGATTATAAAAATCGCGCCGAAATCTTTCTGTCTGTTGTTTGTTCGGCCATTTACAATTTCGGACAAATGAAAATTCATCTGAAAGAAAATTCTATAAAATGAAATAATACCCAATTAAAATTTCTTTAAAATGTCTATTATGTTAAATGAAAATTTGAGCAAAATAAAAATTCTGACAAATAAAAATTCGAACAAATAAAAATTTTGTGAAGTGAATTTTCGGTTAAAATAAAAATTGTGTAATATAGAAAATTGTTTTGATGAAAATTCTGCAAAATACTAATTCGAACAAATAAAAATTTGGCTCAAAAATAATTATGACAAATGAAATTCCATAAAATGAAAATTCTAACTAATGATTTTTAAAACATATTCATGCGTCCTCTAATAGTTACTTTAATTTATTCTAAAAAAAATTCCAGAAAATTAAAGAAATTCCCTGACTTTCCTAACCGTTAGACATCCTGTAAAAATAATCATTTTTAATATTCCATCGTGAAAAAATTCAACTGGCATATATTTTTTCTGATAAAATTTGAGGAAAATCAATTGCTTACTATTAAGTTAAAATAGTTCGCGAGTGAAAGAATAAAACACTGTCAAATTAACAATCAGGTAAATTGGTAAAAAGGGAAGAAATAAATTTTTTTTTAAAGTTGAGCTGCATTTCGCGTTTACATGCCATAAAAAAAAGAACTCTAAATCTTGAAATACAAACCTCGCAAGTTTATGCAATTGATTGCTTTTTATGCGCTCCGTCATCAATTTGAAATTAGCATCGTCCTTCTCTCGTAATTGTTGAATCAGCCTTGAATTTTGTTCTTGCATATCTTCGAATGCTTGACCTGTCACTTCCATTTCGTTAAGTAGAGCTTCCTCCTCCTGAAGCCACACACAACTCTGTTCAGCGTTACAACACCGTTCGAGCTCATAGTCTCTGATAACAACTTAATTAAAAGTTCATGCGCACTTACCGCCCCAAATAAGTTTTTTCAATTAAAAATAAAACAATCTTTTCCTTTTTTCAGAAAAAAAAAAGAATGAAAATATTTTAAAACTAAATCTCATTGGTGGTATATGCGCAAAACTAAAGGAAAAATCAGGGGAAAACATTAATTACCTGTTTCTGAGAAGCAACTTGTTTTTGTAATGAATACGTTTGTTCCTCTAATTTTTTGATTTTCATTTGAGCATCCTCGTCCGCTAGTTTCTTTCTCTCCTCTCGTTTACTTTCCTTTAAAAACAAAAATTTTTTTTGTTGTATTTTTATGTAAAATATTCTTCATATTAAAGAAATGTATACAAGAAATTTTAAAAAATTAATATTTTTCTCTATTTTTCGAAATTAAAAAATGTTTTTTAACGTAAACAAAAAATTTAATGAAATTTAATTTTAAATAATTTAAAGCCTCCATACATCTTAGTATAATAAAATAAATATTTAAAATTAGAAACTAATTACTAATAGCTATTGTGCAAAAAATGTTATGTTGAAAAAAATAAAATTTAATTTACATCTACTTTTAAGGGGTGTTTTCGGCATTCACTCAGAGTTAACTCTAGAGTTAGCAGTGGTGCTCAAATGTAAATTTTGATTTTCAGTTCGTCTGTTGGTTGTGAACGTTGTTGATTGGCAATTTGGCATAGACGATTCATTTTGATTGGCGCAGGGTTTGCAATTGTAACAACATGTGAAACGGGCCTTTTATTCTAGTAATGTAATGTTAAAATAAAATTTTTTGTTTCTAGATTTCATAAAAGTCCCCAAAAATTTATTACTAGATGACCCAGAGTTAACTCTGTTTTCTTGCGAGAGTAAAGAAAAAGGGTCAGTCCTAACTTTTAATGGTCGACAAAATTTGTGAACGAATTGTTTGTTTTGAAAAGTGTAAATTGAAACATAATAATTTATTTTTATTAAAAATTATTTTAACTTTTTATTTATAAAAAACAACTTTAATTAAAATAAATAATCTAGTTTCTAAAACAATTCAGATTAATTAAAGTTAGGGAAATAATGAAAAATTTGAAAATTATAAACTTTAAAAAAATAACACGTTTATGGGTAGCAAAAATATGTTCCATTTTTAAATGAAAAACAAAAAATACGTATAAATTAAAAAAAAGTAAGCAAACAAGGACAACTAACTTCAAACTCAGGGTGATGAAAATAGAAAATCAATTATTTTATTTAGGTAAATAAATTTTCATTGATAATATCATTGAGCACCACTGTTAACTCTAGAGTTAACTCTGAGGTGAATGCCGAAAACACCCAAGGAGGTTCAACGTTCAACCCATTAACTTAACCTCAAACTAAAAATTAGATTTTAACAGAACTAAAGACATATTTAAAAATTAATTTCACTTAAATTCAAAAGATCGAATTATATAATTTTCAAAAAAAAAATTATTTTCAGTTAAAATTTGTTGTTAAATAATAATTAATAATCATTTTGTGTTTTTTTTTTCTTAAAATTTAGTGAAAAATTATAATTTTTATCAAATTTCTATGAAAATTGTACAACTGAATCTTTCGAATTTGACTGAAATTAATTTTATTTACAGTTTTATTTCCTGTTGAAAACAACTTTTTAGTTTAAGGTTATGTTAATGGGATAGGGACCCTTAATAATAAACAATTTTGTACCTGTATTTTCTTAATTTGTTGTCTCAATTCCTCAAGTTCAGCTCTCGTTTTACGTTCAGCAGCCATAAGTTGAACTTTATCGCGTTGTTCCTTTCCCACACCTTTGTACATATCCAAAAGCAGTTTCATTTCCTTCATTTCATTAACGGCTTTTCTATTAAAAATAAAATTAAAAATGTAAAAATATTGGTAAAAAAAAATTTGTTTAACTCTTTCACTACCCAGAAATAACAAAAATTAAAAAAAAAAAAATAAAGCTACAGTTATTCTTTTTGTTTTTAGAGTTCACGGTGCGCCAGAAGGAGGTTTAAATAAAAATGAATTGGCACTTAAAAATTCTTTTTGATTATGGTTCTAAGATGAATAAAAAACTTTTCTCAATAGGTTTTAAAATCAGCTTACGTGCCCAATTTAAAACAAATTAAGTTTTAAATATTTAAAAATAGTGTTTTATGAGGAACCAGAATTCATTTAATGTATACTTATATGCGTATAGATAATAGATGTTTTAGATTTGGGTTCATATAAATTTATTAACAATGAAGTTATTTTCTTGTTTCGTTTTTATATTTATGCATTAAGAGTGTTGAACGGTATCTGAAATTCTTTGGCAAGAAGAGAGCTTTAATTATCGCGACTTTGTGCGACCTGCCTGCTGCTGCCATCTGACGGCGGCAGGAGGTAATGTACCTGTCATTATATTACTTTTCGTTTTGCAATCGTGTTTTTGTATGGATTCGCATAATCTTTCGGAATTAGGAAATTTATATAAGATAAGGATCTCTAGCTGCTTTTGTAAAAAGTGTCCGTCTTTCGAGAAGAAAGTATTTTAAAATCAATGTTTATCATTTTCACGTTTAGTGCCGTTTTTATAGAGCGATACTTAAAGGTCTCTTCTTGCCAAAAAATTTCAGAGACCATTCGACTCTCTTAAATAAATTTTGTCACTCTTTAAATCGTTCTTTTAACATTAAAATTTAATTTTTTAAAATTGGACACACACACTACGGCAATATAATTATTTATATGTAAAATTGAAAATAAGTAATTATTTTATCATTTATTACAGTATTTATTAGATTAAATAAATTCTGATTCCCCATAAAACACTGTTTTTATATAAAAACTCAATTTTATTTAAATCGTGCACGTAAACTGATTTTAAAAACTATTGAGAAATGTTTGTTATTCATCTAAGAATCATAATCAAAAAGAATTTTTAAGTGCCAATTCATTTTTATTAAAACCACCTTCTGGCGCACCGTGAGTTATTAATTACAAATTTAAGCAAAATTTTTAAAGACCTAAATAAAAAAGTTCTTTGGAATTTGACTAGAATATAGAAATTCACTATAATAATTCTATAGAACGTATTAAAATTATTGAATTTAATATATCTCTTCTGGGGCGATTCTACTCATCTAGGGGCTATTATACCCAGTACCAGTTTTTAATTAATAAAATATTTATAATGAAATGTTTAAACTTGCCGCTTAGTATAAATATTGTTTGATAGTTTTACTACAGAGGGCCCTAAATGTTATTACTTAATTTTTTGTCAGAACGTTAAAAAAAATTCATAAAGTAAAAAAAGTCTTAAAAAGTTTTTTTTTCACATTCGCAAAACTTTATACTGGATTTCGAAGAGTTTTCTAGTATTTCGCAAAATATTGCAAATGTTGTCAATTTAGTTCTGATTTTTTATTACGTATTTTAAGAGGTGTGAAAAACTAAAAAACGAAAATTCTCTGGGTAATTATACTCACTTCTTAAAATTAATTATTTTTTTATAAGTGATTTTTAAAAATCTGAATTTCTCAAGTTGTTTTGAAATACACTTAATTTCAATGACATGTAACTCCAAAAGTATTGAATTTAGGAATTATGATTAAAATACAAAAAAGTTTCAGTTTTTTATCGACTTTCAAAATATGTTAACGAAAGAAAAAAAATTTTGCATTTGTTTATAAAAAACAGCGATTTTTCATAAACAAATTAAATTTTTTTAAATTTAGGCGCGATTTTTAAAAATTTTTTTTTAATTTTTACACACATGAAAATAAAAAGAAAATTTTGTAATAAGTTTTGGAGTGGGCCTGATGATCCTTTTGTTTATATAATTTGTTTTAAAAAAAAATTTTTACTTTTTTTTAGTTTTTTTTTTATTTTTCAAAATAAAATGTATTTCAATTTGCTTTTCTATGAGTTTACTAGTAGATCCTAGTGTCAAAAACACTTTTCATTTTGAAAAATAAAAAAAAAAACGAAAAAAAAGTAAAATTTTTTTTTTAAACAAATCATATAAACAAAAAGATCATCAGGCCCACTCCAAAACTTATTACAAAATTTTCTTTTTATTTTCATGTGTGTAAAAATTAAAGAAAAAAATAAAAAAAATCGCGCCTAAATTTAAAAAAATTTAATTTGTTTATGAAAAATCGCTGTTTTTTATAAACAAATTCCAAAATTTTTTTTTCGTTAACATATTTTAAAAGTCAATAAAAAACTGAAATTTTTTTGTATCTTAATCATAATTCCTAAATTCAATACTTTTAGAGTCACATGTCATTGAAATTATGTGTATTTCAAAAAAAAAACTTGAAAAAATCAGATTTTTAAAAATCACTTATAAAAAAATAATAAAATACGTAAACCTTTTTTTTCTACAAAGAATAAGAAAAAATATATTTAGACGAATTTAAAAGGTCAAAGGTAAATCTCACGTGGAATCGCCCATATGTTTTTCAAAGTTAATTCTGTAACTTTTTCTTCTAAATTAACATAAAGAGCATGTTAAAAATTAAATTATGTTGTTTAATTAACCTAAAAAATATCATTTAAAAAAAAATTACACCGTTTTTAATAAATATAGATTTTAGTAAAATTTCAATGTTTAATTTCAAAATTTGTTAAACAATTGTTATAAAAAAATTTTTTTTTTCCATTTTCAATTTTTTTTAATCGTAATCTAGACTATCTGCAGAAAAGATTTCATATAGCTAAAGCTGTATAAAAAAGAAATGTTGAGAATCTTTTGTAAATACACAAACTTTACTGAGTATAATAGCCCCAAAACGCGGGGCTGTTTTCCTTCCCCACGTTTGGAGCTATTATACTCAGTAATGTTTGTTTATTTATAATATATCCTCAACATTTTTTTTGTTGAGGAACAACAACTGAATATAATAGCCTCACGTTTGGGGCTATTATACTCACCACTTCAAGTTACTAAAACTCTGGTAAAAATTTTTTTTTTTGTCATTTAACTTACAGGATACTTTTAGACGGATGTCTACAACATAACGCAAGAGGTGAAATATTTTTAAAAAATTTAAATTCTAAATTTTTGTGAAGTAAAAAAAGTAGCGTTTTTTTTTAGTGTTATAGCCACGATTGACGGTATGTAGTAAAAGAACAACATAATTTTATTTTTAGGCAAAAGTACCTAATTTTCGTACTTTTTTTGATCAAAATTTCAAACTTTTACGAACTTATTTAAAAATTACGTAATTTTTCTTAATTTTTTTAATCGGTTCAAGAACTACCAATAACTTCTTTGTTCTAAATAAATTTGTCCAGAATTTAGAAATTTTTTAAAAATTATTTTAAGAGTTTTTAATTAATATTTAGATTTTTCTTCTAAACAATAGAAAGTCTTGGACACAATCGATTTATAATACAGAGTCATTTTTATGTTCCGGACCCCCTAAAATTTTTTTTTAATTTAATTTTTTTCGTTTTTTAAACAAAAAAAGTGGAATTAAAAAAAAAATTTTTTTAGGGGGTCCTAAACATAAAAATCACTTTGTATTGTGAAAGTATCTATTCTTAAAAAAATACGTTAAAGTCGACTAAAAAAAATAACATTGATGTTTATTAAAGTTCTTGAGATTTTTATTTGTGAAATAAATATTTATCCCCTAGGCGTGTGAAAGAGTTGAGATTTATTTTTCATAAGTTGAAAAAAAAATTGTTCACAGTTCTATAGAAACTGATTTTTGATTTATTAAAAAAAAAAACTTACTTCAGTTGCGCTTTTAAATCTCGAACAATTTCCGCTTCCACAGCCTTAGCATCCTTCGATGCTCTATGAGTTGGATCACGATGTTCTGTTTTTACAGCTTCCTTTTTCATATCCTTCTCCCTTTTAATGTCTTTTTCTTTTTTTAATACTGGTGATGTTAATGTAGATGATTCATGAGCTACTTTATTTCCTTCATTTTCACCCACTTCAATTGTCTCTAATTCTTCATCAATTCCAACTTCTCGTTTTATTAATACATTACTTTCTTCTTTTATCTACAAAAAAAAACAATTTTCAAATTTTTCACTTCTATAAAAAATTAATTTTTTATCTAACCGGAAGTAGATAGTAAATAAATTTAAAAAACTAAAAATAAAATTACCTGAGCCGAACCAGGTACAGGATTAGAAGGATCTTCTTCTTTGCCACTGCCATCAGAATTATTTCCTTCTTTATTGTCCTGCGTATTTTGTTGACCGAGTTTTGAAGTTAATTCTTCGACTTCTTTTTTTAATTTTGGAATTTCAGTTGAAGCGTCTTTATATTTTCGTTTATAACGATGAACTTCACCTTTCAATTGTTGATTATGATTTTGAAGTGAAGTTATTAGATGTCTCATTTCTCGATTTATTGGTCCTGTTTGTTCATTTGCTGCTAAATTTTGTTCAAATTCAATACGTAGCATTTCATATTCCTTACGTAATTGGGCTAGAACGTCTTCAAGTTGAATACACTCTCCGCGTAATTTCTTTTGAGCCATAAGTTCTTCACTCTAAAAAGAAAAATTAATTTTAAATTACAATTTATTATTTACATCATAAGATATATTAATTAACTCAAAAAATCGGACAAGTGCAAGTTACACTCGCACTGAAATCAAGGGTTCCGTACTCGAGGCGAACTTATTTGATATAAAAACAAATGTTTAAAAAATATGTGTTTTATATTAAATAATATATGTGATACAAAAAGGAACAATTTAAAAAAAAAATTTTTAAAATTGTTCCTCCTAATAAATTAAAAAAAAAAAATATACATAATAAATAATTATATATTTTCAAATTTGAAATAAATAGCGCCTAAATCAAATAAATAATATAATTGGTCAATTACCTTATTATAACAGAAACCAATTATATTAATACATTAAAAATAATCAAAAGAAAATTGAAATATCAAAATTAAGTAGGAAAATATAAATTCATAAAATTGTAGTGTACAAACTGTCATTTGGTTAATTCAGTGCTATTTCGTGATTGTCAAAAGAAATTGTGTTTGTAATTGACTAAATTTTGAGGTATGCTACAGTGCTAATACTTATCATAAAATTAGTATTACAACAATTATTATAGATTAAAATAAAACAAATCTTAAATCTGTAAAATACGCATGCATTAATAAAAATTAGAGATATATTTTTTTTTATTTTTTATATATAGCCAAAAGAAAATTTTTTTTCTATTTTTTTTCTATAGATGGCATTAATAATAAAAAAAAGTCAGGCGACGAGTACTGTGTGCGATGGCGCAACAGATGAGGCAGGTCCTCTAACAATCTCTGCCAGCGACTACTGCATCACTAATAAAACCACAACAATTGAAGTAGCCAATAAGGCTACACAAACAAAAAAAGATAAAAACAATAACAGAAAAAAAAATTTAATGAAAAGAAACAAACTAAAAAAAAAATATTAAAAATAAAAAAAACAAGCCGATAATTACTAAAATCAAAAATGTAAAACTAAATATTGATCAATATTTGTTTCATAATAAAAAAATAGCAATGTAGTAGAGGAGGAGGAACCTTTTCCTCTATTTGTGAAAATTAATGGAATAATATATCCAAACATAATCCATTTAACGGATACTATTTTTTGTTTTATAAGAGAACTCTAGAACTCTGTATTTTCTATAGGAATAATATTTCAGAATTCTTTTTTGCAAAAATTATAGTGCTGGGTGAAGTTAGCACCTTATTTTTTCAATATCACGTTTTTTGGTCTAAATCTATGGAACTATTGTTTTAAAATTTATAGAACTCTAGAACTATTGTTAATCTACCTAGAATTCATTGTCGGTTTTTCATTTTTTAAGATTGTAGTGCCAATTTCAAATGACTCAAATGAAGGCATTTAAATTTTCAAAATGGCTTTTAAAGGGGAAGAGTAGCACTTTCAGATGCAATATTTACCTTTTAGAAAAAATTGTCTTTAGATGTTGCATGTTTTCAAATATAGTTAAAAACGGGTTTTTTGCACTTTAAGTTTAGAATAACTCGAAAACCTGATGTGCATGAAAAGTAAATTTTGTTGGCCTGTGTTATAGTTGAAATTATTTTTTTAGAAAGTTTTAGATGGAAAATTATAGAAATAATTAAATTTTAAAAGGTTTTAAATTGAAATTTTTGAAAATAATGGAATTTTAAGTCCAACTACGTATTTAATAACTAAAATTAATTTATTTGTCTTTTTTAAAATTTCGCGCGCAGTACGTGGTTCTATCGAAAAAGATAGAGGGATTAAAATACATAAATAAATCAATGAAATTAAAAATAACAAATAGATTATAATTTCTGAAATAATAAGAACAACGTAATTAGCATATAATAACCACGTGCACGTAGGGTTCAACTGAGAAGCGGGCAGCAGAATTGCAACCAGAAGACAAACTACTGGGTCATACAACGTGCTGCAACGTCCTTTTAACTCAGATCCTTGCATACAAGTATAATTCCTTCAAATCAGGTAAAGTAAGATATAAAAAATTAAAGAAATTCAAATAATCGTCTTGTGTTTACTTCTGTATACAGATATCTGCTATACTCTTATTTTGATAACTAATGAAAATAAAATAAATTTAACTTCAAATAACTTCTGTCTTCTAGAAAACAGTTAAATTGTAATTAAATAAACGCGAATATTTTGATAAACAATTCCACACAAATAATATAATAGTGAAACAAAATGGAAAAATCCACAAATATTCAATCGCCTGCCCTGACATTCGGAGACATATTACCCTCATTTACCTAAAACAGAATGCTGAAAATAAAACAGTCAGTTTTACTTTAAACAAATTAATGAAAATAAAAAACGTTCTTTGAATAACACACAAACTCTAGATCCTCTGAATACTTCTGTTAAATTTCTTGTAGAATGAATGATATTTTGTATGGTTCAGGTATGTAGCATGGTTGCGTGTGTGCGTGGGAACAATGTTATTCTTTTCATATAAAAAAAGGAGAATTAATTTCGCAGCAAATTGAAGAATTTGAATCTATCTGTAAAAAGCTTGCAGATCACAATGATAAGCCCTCTAATACAGCAGTGGAATCAAAGTATTAAGCAGCATACCACCAAAATTTTCTACGTTCCGAATGGCTTGGCAATGCATGCCGAGAAAAACAAAGTGTTATTTTAACACCAGAATTGGTGTTAAAATAACACGCAACAAATTTCACCCTAAATCTGGGTTAAATCTTATGGGTTTCAGCATTTAAGAAAATTACCCGCAACAAAAATAACACCAGATTTTTTCTGTGGAAAGCTGAAAGGAAAAATGATGCTCTCATTGCTCGATTAATTCGTGAAGACAAGCGGATGACTGAAACGGAAGAAAATGCTTCATTAATAGCTCTTCAAATTCAGGCACTCGAGTTAAAAAGAAATATCCACGATCCTAAAGGAAAGAACAAGAAAAACGAGGGAACAAGTAAGAAAAATAAAATTGAAGCCCTTAAAAAACGGACAAAATGTTCATACTGTCAAGAAACAGGACACTGGTTCCGCGAATGTCCCGTAAGATTATAAGCAGAAAAAGGCGGAAAGAAACAATCTACAGGAGAACAAGAAGCATACATCAGTGATGTCACTAATTAAGTAGTGACAAATAATAAAGAAGTTTATAGTGCAGTGGACAGTGACAACAATAATAATATACAGTTGTTAATGATGTTTAGAGGCAGTTTAGACAAAGCGAAAGTGAACTGTCAATACCGAAGACAGTAGTTTACACAGGTGATGTACAAGTACTACATTCAAAAATTACAACGAAAGATGTTGATGTGTGGATTGCTGATTCTGGTGCAAGTATGCATATGACTTGTAGAAAAGAGTTTTTTGCTTGCTTTGAACCTTTAACTGAAAATCATGTTGTGAAAATTGCAAATGACAAAGTGTTAAGTGCAGTTGGCATAGGGACAGTGACAATTATTGAAAATGTAAATGAACAGTGCGTCAGGAGATAAATGAAAAACGTGCTTTTAGTGCCTGAACTGAGAATAAATTTGTTTTCCATCGGATCAGTGAACAATAAAGGTTTTTCATACGACAGTTATAAAGACAGATGTGAGATTTGTGACTCTAGTGGAAAAGTGACTTCAATTGGAAAGCGGTACGAGAATCTGTTTCAAATGCTATTTACAGTAAAAATGCCCGTGAAATTCTGCGTAGTTACGGATAAAATGAACATGTTAAAGCTTTGGTATAAGCGTATGGGACACGTAAATATTCAAATTGTAGTAAAAACAGGTAAAGCTTTCACTAATTATGATTTTTTGGACAGTAAAAATAACAAATTCTTTTGTGCAGTATGTGTAATGAGAAAACAATCTCGTAAACCACATTATTCAATCGAGAATGTAAAGTGTTTTAAGGCAGGCGAGAAAATACACACAGACGTGTGTGGACCTGTAAATATTAAATCACCAAGAGGTTCAAATTTTTTTGTGGCTTTCAAGGATAAATTTACAAGCTTTAGAAAAGTATATTTCCTCTGACACAAGTTCGAAGTATTTGGCAAATATAAAGAATTTAAAGCTTTTATTTTCAAACAAACTGGAAATAGGGTTAAAGTGTTGCATTCAGATAATGGAACTGAATACACGTGTAGCGCATTTTCCAAGCATGTTAAAGAAAATGGAATAGTGCATGAATTTTCTACTCCCTATATTCATGAGCAGAATGGAAGGGCTGAACGGGAAATCAGAACACTTGTGGAAAGTGCACGATCAATGCTGATCAGCAGTGGAATAGAAAAGAAACTCTGGACATAGGAAGTCAACACAGCGTGTTATATATTTAACAGAGTGATCCAGCCAGGTCAAATTATGACACTTTTCGAGAAATGGTTTAACCGAAAACAAAAAATCGCGCATTTAAAAGTGTTCGAATCGGATGCTTAATTTAAACATTCCAAAAGAGAAAAGAAAATTTTATCCGAAATCGCAAAAAGTTATCTTTGTTGGATATGATGGTGAATCTTCGAACTACAGACTTTGGGACAAAACAACGAGAAAGATTTACATTAGCAGTGATGTTGATGTCCATGAAGAAAATAAAAAATGTAAGGAACTGAACAAAGAAAACGCAAGAGTTCAATCTAAAATAAGATTTGGTATAGAAAATTATGAAAATAATGAAGCTGTTCCTGAAGTGGAAGCAGTAAATCAAGTTCCGGAAGAAGAAGAAGCTTTGCTTTGCTTTCGGAAGTAATTGATGAGTCAGAAGAACTTTTGTTTGAGGTTGTAAATTATTTTAAAAATCTTGTTACTCAGTTCTTTGATCGACGTGACATGAGAGAAGAAGCAGAGGTAAAAGATTTATTAGAGCATTTTGAATTCGACAGTCCTTACCAAAATTTAAAATCTTTAGATCAACAAATTGATTCCCTCAAAGAATATTACAATTATATAGAACCTCTAGGTAAAAGAGGTAATCAACGATGGGATAAAGAATCTAATACTTATTTGCCAAGCGAAGTTTCCGAAACTTTTCAATACGTTCCTATAATCGATGTTCTAACTATGGTATTGTCAAACAGTGAAATTCTTTCGGAAAGGGAGTCTGAAGAAAATATTTTAGCAGGATTTATGGATGGTCAATGTTATAAGAATCACACATCTTTGCAAACATATAGACACGCGATTCGCATTGAACTGTATTACGATGACTTCGAAATAGTAAATCCTATTGGTTCTAAAACTGGAATTCATAAATTTACTTTCGAATTCAAAATCTGCCTCCACATTTAAATTCTGGTGACAGCAGCATTCATGTCGTATCCTCAAGTTATACCGAAGATGTTAAGAAACACGGATTTAAAAAAATATTGAAGCTTTTCCTGCTAGATTTGATTAAATTGGAATCTGACGAAGGAGTAAAAATTATACTACTCTCACAACGCTTTCTGGAGACGGATTAGCAGTGAGTGATGTCTACGGATATTTGTCTCCGGCATCCAATCAATTCTGCAAAATGTGTCTTATATCGAGATCAGAATTGAAGCCGCGAATCGAAGAGGGATCTAACTTATATTTTATCGAATTTTAACTGTATAGAAAAATAGAATATATTTAATATACTCTTTCGAATTCTGCAATAAAAAATGTGTAATTATAATATTATAATAGCGAACATTGACGTCTTTTAAAATATTTCAAATAAATGCTTGCTTAAAATAATTTAATTTCACTTTTTTCACATGTTTCTTTTAGGTGTTTGTCCAATGACATTGAAATTAATCATCCCTAAGCTGATATGTGAACAGAATCTTTTCAATGTATCATATCTCAATGGTCGAATTGTGCATGGGAAACCTTTCGAAGATGATGCCCAATATCGGTGGCCCCAGGGAAAAGAAACGAAATCTAGTGGCGACAGTGGTTCAAGCAAAGCAACTTTATGCTGGCCCTGATTGGGCTTCGGCCTTAAAAATCCACAGCATCTCTAACAGGCTTCTCGCGATACAGAGAGACCCAGTACAAAGAATAGTGTCAGCCTTCAAAACGGTGTCTACTTGCGCTGTTCTAGTACTCGCTAGATTACCGCCAATAAATTTATTGGCGATGTCAAGAAAAGAAATTTTCCACCTTAACAAAGATCTGGCGGTTACTTCAGAGCGTAGCAATAGACTTAAACCGATAATACGCAGGGAGTCCAGAAGTAGACTTGTTCAGAAATAGCAGAAAATATGGGATGGGGAGTAAAAAGGTAGGTGGACCTACCGCCTGATTCTCCACCTCGCAACATGGTTGGAAAGAAAACACGGCGAAGTTGGCTACTACCTTACACAAGCGTTGTCGGGTCGTTGACGACGCGGAGCACACTCTCTTTTTTGCGGGCACTGGCGTGAACTTAGGCAAGCCATGTTCTCGGCTGTAGTCACTGAAGTCGCAGTTGAAAACTCCAGTTGGTTTCTATTATCTTGCAGAGCGCTGACTCTTGGAGGAACATCGTGTCCTTCATTTCGCAAGTAATGATGACGGAGGACGACAGGAGGATGAGTGGGTCGGACAGAACAAGAGCGGTCATCCCAACATAACCTGCGAGTAAGGGTTTCAGGTACCTGACTTAGAAGTAGGCCTCCAGAGTTATGCAGATTTTCCACTTCCCTCGTAAAAAAATTAATTTCGTTTCTTTTATTACAGCTAATAGACGCATCTCTTTCGATGCAGATTGCTCCAACCTCAGAACTTATAGTGTTGGTGTTCCGCAGGATGGCGTGCGGAACCCATTCTTTTCAGTCTTTACTTGCGCGAATTCAAGTTTATTCTTTATTCTCAGCCGCTTGACCATCTCGCTGAAGGAACTTGGCGTGGATGTCGCACAAACCAAGACCTGCTGTATTTTCTCAAAACCTAGGAAGTCCTTTCTTAATGTACATATAGTGGTGAGTGATTCAATCATCTTTTGTGTATACCGTAACCTAATTTGTGACATTTATCCTCAGCCTTAAACTCTTGCTCCGCAAAGCATACAGAAATAAGCCTAGCTTTAACTTGGAGAAACTGTCGCTCCTCAATTCATACTCTCACATTTACACTATTGTTGAACTCTGCTATAAAACGGAGTTTGGCCACTCTGGCCACGAAATGCAGAATCATTCTTCCTCTGAGGTCTGCTTTTATCAGTTGATTACCACAAACTATTCTGATTACAGATTAATCTATACCGACGTATCTCTGTATCCGGACTCGGGGTTGGCTTCTGTGGCCTTGTTCGATTAAGCTACTGAATACTCCCATAGTATTCCTTTGTAACCTTTTTCCCCTATCCTTACAGCAAAAACTTTTAATATTTTCAGAGCTATTCTTTATGCTAAGACCTTAAATCCTCAACTTATTCTGATTGTAACAGATTCACTTGCAGTTATCTCTTATTTTCACAACTGTTTACTTTACAAAGAAAATCCCGAAATTATATACTTGATTCTTGACTTGATTTCTCCTCATCCAGTCTTTTCCCACTTTTTGCTTCCTCTGGGTTTTTTCACACTCGGACATTTTTAATAACGAATGAGTGGATTCTATCTGCAAGACTGACAACGATTTATTATAGACCTTCTTTGAGTGACGCCAGGAGGAGTCTCTTTGTCCCAGATCGATCATCGTGATGGGCACGCTTCTGACTCTTCTCGGACCTGTACCGCAGGACTCTTATCTTGGTCCTCTTATTTTTCTGATATATATAAATAATATCAAAAATTATTTTCTTCATATCACATTTCTTGTTTATGCAGACGACTTAAAATTTTCTAAACTAATCACTTCTTTATCTTGCATTTATGCGTTACAAGAGGACCTGGATAGAGTTTATATGTGGTCTATTAAGAATTTTTTGCCTTTAAATGTAAATAAATGTAATATAATGTCATTTCATAGGAAAATTAAAATAATAAATTTTTATTATAACATCTGTGGTGCTCCTTTAACGAGGGTTAATCGGCAGCGTGACTTGTGACCCTGCTCTAAACTATAACGATTGTTATTGGGAAATTATTGATTTTGTTCTTTTCTCTTGTCAGGCCTCATGTAGATTTCTTATCAATAATATATTCCTCTCAGTATGAATATCAGAAAGTGAGGCTTGAGAGAGTTTAGAATATTTTCTTGAGATTTGCTGCCAGACAACTTGGTACTGACTACTTTAGTCATGATTATTTGGAACTGCGGTCAATCATGAGGATACCATATATTTCCATAAGGGAAAGGGTCCATTGTTAAAGTGCCATTCCACAGCACAAATTTAGGTAGTAACTCACCTCTCACTCGACTTTATCGTGAAGCGAATCATGCTTAAAGTGTGGAATTTATTAATAATTCTAAAAGTGAATTTGCGCAAGAACTTTCTACTTATTTAAGTCACTTGGAGTGATTTTAATGATCACATTTTTTAATTTGTATGTTTCTTTTTGCAAGGACAACTTTTCTGTTAATTTTTCTTTTCTTTCAACAAATTATGTATTTTTCGTTTAATGAAGGGTAAAAATTTTGTAAACCCGTGTACAATTTAAATAAAATATCTCTAAGAACTTTGATATTTTCTAAGTGAATAAAAAAATAAATAATAAATTAATAGTAGAAACCTACCTCCATCATTTCAATATGCCGTAAGTGAGCATTTTTACTTGTTTGCAATTGTTGTCTGGCGTCATCTAGTTGTGTTTTCAATTGCATTGATTCGTTGTATAAAACAGAAAATTGTGATTGTAAACATTTGTACTCGGTAGTTTCAACGATAACAGATTCTGGCAACTGTCGAATCTAAAAAAAAATAACATTCGTTCTAAATTAATTTAAAACAAAAATGAAAATTACACATCACAAAATTTTGCTCTAAGCGTTTCGAATGAGCCACAATTTTTTTTTTTTTGTTGGATATTTGTTCGGCTTTTTGCAATTTCGGTCAAATAAAAATTCTGTGATTTAATATTTCTCTTAAATGATAATTTGTACAAATAAAATTTTCAACAAATAAAGTTTTTGATGAAATGTGGAATTTTACTATTTAAAAAATCGACTAAGTAGAAATTCTATTAAAAGAAAATTTTGCTTAATAATAATTTGTTTAAATAAAAATTTTTTTTATTAATTTGAAAATAAAATCAATAAAATGAATGTAGAATCTATTAAAATTTCTATTAATAAAAAATTTTACCTTCAAAAAAATTAGGATTTATGTTGACAAAATTTAAGAAAAAAAAAATAATTTTTGTTTACTCACGTCCATTTTTAATTTTTCAACTTCCTTGAGTGCATCGCGATGTTGTTGATGAAGTTTATCAAGTTCTTGAAGTCGATTATTAGCCATTTCCCGTGTCTCTTCTAATTCTCTCTGTAGATCTTCGACTTTTGTCTGCGATACACTGGAAGGAACAATTGTATTCGATTTATTACTACCCTTATCATCAGATCCATGAATTTGTTGAAATGCTTTTAATTTTTCAATAGCTTCTCCTAAATGATGTTCCAATTTGTCATTTCGTGCACGAACTTTATTTAATTCGTACTGTAAATCATCGACTTGATTTCGCAATTCAGCCGCTAACGTATCTTTGCCCGTTATTGTATCCTGAAGTTCTGACATCTAAAAACGTAGAATTTTTCCTTTTTTTAAACTAATTTAAAAAAATAAATTTCTATTAAAATTATACTAAAAAAATTTTATTATGAAAAAGTTTACATTTTTTAAAATTTTCTCGAAAGTGATATTTTCCGCTAATAATTTTTTTTTAAATTCTTTGATTATTAAATAATTACCTTAAGCGATATTGTATGATATTTCTCATGAAGCTGAAGATTAATAGCTTGTAAATTTCTATTTTCCGTTTGAATCTCCGTATTTGCGTTTCGTACAACTTCATCGATATTTGGTGCTTCTTCTGTAAAGCAAAAAAAATATTTTTAATTCAAAAGCCGTTTTATTAATTTTTTTTTATTTGAATTAAAAAAAGAAAAATACCTCCTTCAAATTCGCCTTTGAGAGCAATAGTAATTTTTTCATTTCTTTGAGAAAGTCGATCGAAGGCTTGAACAACTTTTGAAACGGCACGTTTTGAAACTTGAACTCGATTAGCCAATTTATCGTCAAGTTCTTCTTTATCCCAAGACGAAAGTTGCATGAGAAAAGAGGTAGTGGCTTCACTTTCATCTGTCAATAATTAATTTTATTTTTTTTTTAATAAAATTTCAATTCAAAAATGTTGTGCAAAAAAATAAAATAATAATGTTTTTTTTTTTTTACTTTTATTTTCTGATTCATCGGCTGTTTCGGCATCAAATCTTTGAAGTAAAACACGAATGTCTTCATTTAATTGATTCCAATATCGATTGACTACATTTAAAACTGCATCGTCTTGCGTTTGACGCTTTTCTAATTGTTCTATCCTTTGACGGAGTTCAGCTTCCATACGATGACGTTGCTCTAATCTCTGTAAATTAAAATTTTTTTTTTATTCATTGGTTCATAAAATAAAATAATTTTTAAAATAACTAAAACATTTCACACTATGCCGAAATAAAAAAAATTAAGTCACAATTGTGTAAAAACACGTATTTATCACACTAGGGTCTATTGGACCCTAATAAAAATTGTTACAAAATAAAAATTATTGATTAGTTTTAATAAATTTTTTTAACAACTTATTAAGAGCTTACATTAAAGAATCATTTTTTTTGAAGAAGGGGACCTTAAAAGTAAACGAATTTTAGGTTATGTCTACGGGACTTTCACCTTGATTAAAAGTTTCTTTTTATTTATTTAAAGTCGAAATCAGTTTTTATTGAATACTTTGGTTGTAATGAAGAAATAAACGTATTGAAAGTTGATCCTCTTTGTGTATTTTTACTTCAAAAAATTTTTAAACAAAACCTACAATTTTTTTTGCTTCTAAGGTCCCTTTCTTCGGAGCGCATCACATAGCGAAAAATAAAAAGAAGTAAAACAAAAAAATGAAAATTCAACAAAATAAACTTTTTCTTACTATAAAATTCATGATTTCTTTAATTTATAACATAACGGGATAATATTAGTAAAAAGAGGAACTTTATGTTTTTCACAAAGACGTTTCATGCTCTCAAAAAAGTTACAATTATGGTTTTAAATAATTATGCTATTAAAACTTAATGCCAAAATTAGTAATTATATTTTTCAAGAATATAATATTTATAATGAAATAATTCTAAATTGTTGGAAAATTAAATTACTTTTAAAATTAATTTAAAATCATTTAAACTAATATGAAAACTTTCAATTACAAATATTTCAAAATTGAATTATTTATATTTAAATCCAAATAATAATTATATTATTCAAAAAAAAAAGATGTATTATTTATTATTTTTAAAAATAATTGATTGATATTAAAAGGGGCCATTCATTAATTACGTAAGGGTCCTTAGGGGGAGGGGGGGTTTATAAAATCTCTACATGGTCTTACGTGGGGTGGGGGGTAGAAGCTAATCTTACAAAAAAATTTTCCCTCTAATTTTCAATATGGTAAGTAATTTATAAAAATTATTTTAAATTTAAATTGGTCAATAAAAAGTGTTTTCAACATTATGGAGGTTAGAATCCACAAATTCATGGCAATTGTATTTTTTGTTTCAACAGATGTTTTATATACACTGAAGAGGACACCAACGTTTGGTGTCGAAACGTCTGTAATTTTTTTTGTGATTTATTATTAATAAAATAAATCATTTTTTGATCCAGTATAATCCTGTTTTTCAACAAATTAATCTTACGTAAGATTTTTCCTAGTATTTTCCATTTGTATTGATGTAATTAATTTTTTAATTACATTAATATTGTTAAAAACTTACGTAAGAAGGGGGAGGGGGGGTCCGAAAAATCTTATGTATCCTTACATGGGGGTAGGGGGGGTCAAAATTAGCCAAAATCGTCCTTACGTAATTAATGAATGGCCCCTAAAACTTTAATTGCATTTCTTTGAAATATCAAATCATTTTCAAAAATTTAAATTAAATTTTCTTTTTAGAAATTTGTATAAAGTTTTTCATGAATTCAATTCAATTATTTAAATTTTCAAATGAAAATTGTCTGAAATTTTATTGCTGTAAAAAATAACAGCTAATATTCTAAAATTTAATTATTTTAAAAAATTTTTATTCAAATTAAGCACCAATTTATTTATTTTCTTCTATGCTCAAGCATAAAGGTTCTGTCTCTTCCAATTAGAAATTTTACTATTTATTTAATAATATTAAAAGCATCGACAATTAGTAAATTTTTAAATTCATGAAAAAAAAGTGTATAGAATTTAGCAATGAAAAATAATAAATATAATGCAAGATGTTGAAAATTACTATAATTACCAGTGTAATTCACCGTCTACAATTTTTATTACTTTTTATCGGTAATTTTTTTAGGCTTTTTTCTTGATTCTAAACAATTAAATAATTAATCGTATGGATTTTTAAAAATTTTAATATTTTCAAAAAATAAAATTTCTAAAAGACAAAAAAAAATTTTTTTTTAAATTTTGATAATTCACAATAATTTTAGATCCCAAATGATAGAAAAAAAAAATTGACACCTCTTAACAAAAAATTAATTTCAGACCTTGGATCGACTTTAAGGCATAAAAAAAGTCGTTTTAGTTGATTTATGTTCCAAAAAAAGTCGAAAAAGTCGATTTTCTTTATTGTAACAAAATTTAATTGGTTAATACATATTTTACTTTAAATAACTAATGTTATTAGATATTTAATTCATTTCATCAATTCTGTAATGAGAATAATTCTATAATGAATATTATCAAGTAAATTTATTTCGAATATTTCAGAATCGAACTAATTGTAAGACAAATTTTCAAAATTTTATTTAAGTATGTCAAATTACGAAAATAATTCTTAAAGTTTCATTTTTATAATTTTATGAAGTCTGATTTAAGCAATTTATTCGAATTTAAAATTTTGTCATAGTTTTTAGTTTTTATGGTCAAAAAAATTTCAGACAATACTTAATCAAGTTTTACAGATTTTTAAATAAAAATTTTTTTTAAATAATAATTTTGGAAGAGTTGAAGTTGACGTTTTTAGAAATAATTGAATTGCAAAAGATTTTGTTAATTTTCAGACAATAATTAAATTTTACAAAACTAAAAATAATTATATGTATAATAATAAAATGCTTGGTCTGTCCTTCTGTCCTAACTTGAAGTTGGCCTTTTCTGATTTCACGTGTTTTTTTGGAATAGTTATCTTATGACGTGTCAAATTTTGACAATTCTTTTTCTCATTTTTGCCAAAGTTGTATAATTGTGTTTCCAAATTTCGGAATAAGTTTCTTTCAAATTCCAAATTCGAAAATTTAATTCACGAAGCTGAAGTACACAACGTTTACCAACGAAATTTTTTTTAAAGTTGTATATTCATTCAAAAATTGTATACAAATACAAAAAATTTATGATGAGAAAAAAGATGCGCTAGGAAATTTCGTACAAGATAGTAATTTGAAAAAAATTTATTTTTAAGGTACCAGGGGCCAACGAATACGTATTAAATATTAATTATAAAAACACAGGCCTCGAATCAACTTAAAGACACAAAAAGTCGTTTTAGTCGATTTATATTCCAAAAAAAGTGGATTTGTTTTTTAATTTTAACAAAAATATTTTACAGATTTTTAAATAAAAAAATTTTTTTTTAATAATAATCCTTTTCGAAGGGTTAAAGTTGAAATTTTTAAAAATAATTCAATTTCAAAAGATATTGTTAATTTTCAAACAATTATTAAATTTTACAGAACTAAAAATAATTTATCAAACAATTTTTGGAAAACATTTTTTAAATTTAATTGAATTTTCAAAGATTTAAAATTGAGATTTTTGAAATTAATTGAAACTTTAAGTGTTTTGTAATTAAAATTTTAGATGATTTCACTAAAAATTTATTCGAAAATGCGGACAGAATACAATAATTTGAAAATCATTTTTAATTGAAAAATGGTTTCAGATAGTTGAAATTTCAAAGAATATTATTAAAATAGTTAAAAATAATTGAATTTCCTTAGAGTTATAATTGAAATTATTAAATTTCAATAAAAAAATTTTCAATGGAAAATTTTAGAAATAATTAATTTTTTGATGCTTTTAAATTCAAAATATTGAAAATTCAATTAATTTTGAATTCAAATTTTTGAGAATAATTAAATTTTATTTGATTTTAAATTTGAAAAATAATTGAATTACAAATCATTTTGAATTGATAATTTTGGGAAATAATTGAATTTTAATTGAAATTTTGGATAATAATTTAATTTAAGTTCATTTTTGATTGAAAATTTGGATAATTAATTTTGAATAGAAATTTTAGAAAATAATTGAATTTTATTTCATTTTAAATTGAAAACTTGGTAAATAATTAAATTTTAAATTGAAAATTTTGGATAATTATTGGATTTTTAATTGATTTTGAATTAAAATTTTAGGTAATAATTGAATTTTAGTTTATTTTGAATTGAAATTTTTAAAAAATAATTCAATTTTATTGTAATATTTTTTTTTAAATTATAAACAATTGTTAAATTTCATAAAAATTTTAATTGAAAAATAATTTTGATATAATTGAATTTATGATGTATTTCATTAAAATTATTAAAAATAATTAATTTAGTGAAGAATCATTTTAGTTCAAAATTTGTTAAATAATTGAATTTGAAGAAGATCTGAAGAAGATCTACATTTGATACTAAAAACATGTATTTTATTTACATTTTTTTCAAATGTAAAAAAAATGTCGCATTTTATTAAAAGAAGTCGATAAAAGTCGTATTTTTGAAAAAAAAGTCGGAAAAAGTCGTATAATCCGAGGCCTGTAAACATATAATTTTCATTATTATCATTTAATATGTAATAATATTCTAATAAATTAAATTATTATTGATAATATTAATCTTTTATTTATCTTTATAACAAACAATTAAATACTCAATTTGGCGCGCTTGCGCGCGTTTAATTTTGCTAGTTTATTAAATAATTTTAGATAGCATTTTTTTAAAGTAATTGAATTTTCAAAAACTTTAAATTTAGATTTTTGAAATTAATTAAATTGCAAGTGATTTTTTTAAATTAAAATTTTTGATAATTTCACGAAAAAATTTATTAGAAATTGTAGACAAAAATAGAATAATTTGAAAATAATATTTAAGTGAAAAATGGTTTCAGATAGTTGAATTTTTGAAGAATATTATAAAAATCATTTAAAAAAATTGAATTTCAGGAGAGAGTTATAATTGAAATTATTATTAATAATCAAATTTCAAGTGATTTTGAATTTAAAAAATTTGGTAATTTTATTTGCTATTTTTTTTAAATTAATAAACAATTATTAAATTTTATAAAAATTGTAATTGAAAAATAGTTTTTAAGATAATTGAATTTGTGAAGAATTTCATTAAAATTATTAACAGTAATAATTAATTTAATAAAGAATTTTAGTTAAAATTTTTGTTAAATAATTGAAATAAAGTAGATCTGAAGAAGATTTGCAATGTATAATAAAAAAAACGTAGTGTTTAAAAATTTTGTAAAAAAATTTATAATAATCTTAATAATCTTAATAATCTGAGGCCTGGAAATATTAAAGTTATTAAAAATAATTGAATTTTGAAAAAGTTACAGTTGAAATTTTTTTAAAAATAATTCAATTTCAAAAGATTTTAAGTTATTGAAAATTTTAATTTGTCAAGATTTTTTTTTAATTTTAAACAATAATTAAATTTTACAGAATTTTTGATTAAACAAGTTTTAACAATTTCAATTTTTAAAGAAATTTGTGAAAATTATTGGTTAACTATAATTTAACAAATAATGTAAGATAACATTTTTTTTTTAAATAATTGAATTTAAAGTTTTTTTAAAAAAACTAATTATTATTATTAATTTTTATTATTCAATTTTATTTTATTTAAAGTTAATAAATAATAATAAATTAATTAGATACTAATAATATTAATAAATAATTAATAATTAATAAAAAAATAATAATCTATTTGTTTTTTTCCAAAATATTTCCTTTTGATAGTAAAATAATTTCTTTTAATAATTAAAGGATATATTTTAAAGAACTTTCCCTTTATCACAAAAGAAAATCGTCTTAAATATTAAATAAGGAAAATCCGTTTAAGATAAAAGAATTCCTTTTCAATTTAAATAAATTGTTTTCTCAGTGAACAATTGTGTTTACTCAAAATATTGATTTTATTTTTTTGGAGCTTTTTACCAAAAAAAAGTATAATACTATCAAGTTTCATGTAAATTGTTGATGTTACTCCAAAATGAGGTAAATTTCTCCTAGAATGGAACGCAAATATTAGTGGATTAAGACGAAATATTTAATAAATACAAAGTAAACACTTGAAAGGAATAGAAAATTTCCATCTTTTCACTTTCAAACTATAGAGAAATCCTCGATTTTCAATATATTTCTCATTGTCCCCTCTATATACACTTATAATTATACAAAAAAAAAAAAAAAAATCATCTCACCTGAGCCAATTTTTTATTTTGGAACTGCAAAACTTTCATGTCCATTTCTTCAAGTGTTGAAATGGGTCCAATTAAAATTGGTTCAAATTGAACTTTTTTAATTGGAGGCTGTGAACTTGAATCGCCACCTTCTGCTGATCGTTTAGACATTTTAAATGTAATTTATTTACTTTTTTTCTTTCAATTTAAAGAGTAAACCGACAATTAAATGACAAACTTCACACGAAAAAAAAGTTATTACTCTCTTTTATGACAAATAAATAATTTGCACTTAATGATAAAAATAAAAATACAAGCTTCAAAATAATTGTATCTTTGTTGTGTAAAAAATTTTTTGCATTTAATATGGATATGAATAGGAATTTTTATGTTACAAAAAGATAATTATCTTTCTAAATTTTCTCTATATTGCGAATTAAATAAAAATGAAAACTTTTAATTAAATATGAGAGCATTTTTTTTTCTAATCGTTTTATTAAATTTATTTTTTTATAGAAAAAAATCTAAGTAAAGCTTGCCGACTATCGGCTTGAAATCTGACAAATTGTCTAGAACTTGGGCGGGGTAGAGAGGGTAAGGAGGAAACTTTCTTTCTAAGAATGAGATATCTTTTTGACTGTCAAATGTTTCACTTTTTTGACGTAGCGCTACTAGTTCAAATTTTAGATGGTAGAAGATCTGAAATATAAAATGTTTGTTAAATGGAAATTTCTCTCTCTCTCTCTCTCTCTCTCTTTGCATCTGTTTTACACTCATGATCTAGTGACAAAACGCAAAACGCTGCCATGGGACTGGGCCTGCGCAGAATGAAATCCCTATAATCGTAAATCGTAAGCTTTTACATGAGAGAGAAAAGGACAAAAGATATTTCTATCCTTTTCTCTCTCATGTAAAAGCTTAAGATTTATGATTAGAGATTTCATTCTGCTTAGGCCTACTGCAGCCTTAAGGCGCTTGTATACCTCACCGATCCCGAGTATACTTCTGTCGTGTACCAATGGAATAAAAGAGACAAAAGATATTTCCGTCTCTTTTAATCCAATGGTACACGACGCAAGTATACTCGGGATCGGTGAGGTATACAAGCGCCTTTAGTAGTTCGGGTTGGTTTCCATTGTCCTCACTCGCCATTTGTCATAAATCTCTTCAACTACCGCACCCTTACCTAGTGAAAATCTAGTAACTTTATAGTAATTTTTAATTTTAACAATAAAATGGAAACCAACCTTCAAGTTGGCTGGAGAAAAATGCAAGATGGCGATTATCTGGGGAATAAATTTACATTGAAAGTGTATTGGATAAAACCTAGTTTTTTAAATATCTCGCTCAAATGAAATTTTCGAACCTAATTATGTTAGCATTTTATTTTTAAAGAACTATTCAATGCATTAATAAAAGCAAATTTTATTTTATTGCCTAAAGGCGCCGTTCCATGACATTGTGAGACGTCGGCGTAAAAGCGGAAAGCATGAGAACGAAAGAGATGAACATATCTCACTATCTCTTTCATTCACATGCTTTCTGCTTTTACGCCGGGGTTTTCACGCTGTCATAAGACGGCGCCTTAATATACTTAAGTTCGAAAATTTCATTTAAGCGAGATATTAAAAAAAAAAATTTTATCCCACATATTTCCAATGTAAAGTTGTGTCCCAGATAATCGCCATCTTGGATTTTCCTCCATCCATCGTGAACTACCTAAAGGACTCGTCTCATATAAACGTAAAAGCGTCGGCGAAAAGCGTAAACCATGTGAGTAAAAGAGAGAGTGATATCTGTTTATCTCTTTCAATAACGTGGTTTTCGCTTTTTGTTGAATCTTTGATGCCAACATGGAACGGGCCCTTAATAAATGTAAACGTATACGAAAAGTTGCCATTATCCTCACTCGCCGTTTATCATTATTCTCGTCAACTACCGCACCCTGCTCTAGTGAAAATTTAGTAACTTTATACTTAAAATTAAAAGTTACTATAATAGCACTAAATTTTTACTAGAGCAAGGTGCGGCAGTTGACGAGAATTATGACAAATGGCGAGTGTGGAAAATGGTAACCTTCCGAAATAGGCAGTGGTTGGTTTCCATTGTCCCCACTCGCCATTTGTCATAATACTCGCACTTTGCTCTAGTAAAAATTTAGTAACTTTGTAGTAATTTTTAATATTAATAATAAAATTACTAAATTTTTACTAGGGCAGAGTGGGGTAGTTGACGAGAATTATGACAAATTGCGAATGGGGACAATGAAAAGCAACTTTTCATTTTAACGGTGGAAATGGAATATTTGTCAGAGCCAATCAAATTCAGTGATTCTCCGTTAAAAATGTATGGCTGTTTCCGAATTGGGATTTTTAGCGCTCTTTTGATAAAGGTATACTCGGGAAGTATGCAGTGTCATTTTTTCCATGCGAAAAAAAGTACACTGCATACTTTCCAAGAATTAACTTAATCAAAAGATGCCCTAAAAATCCCAATTGGGAAACGGCCTGTAGCTCGTCAAAAACCAAAAATATATAAAAGCACCTTAAAACGAAAATGTACACTTGTTGTGGCCAGAGATTAGGCCTAAGCAGAATTGGGATCTGAAATCATAGGGAATTATGGGGAAACTGACCCCGTTGCGTCAGCCATCTTGATTTTTTATCTCTTTCTTCTACATATATTTTAAAAAGGACGAAACGAAAAATGGCTGACACCACGAGGTCGTCACCAGATGGCGTATCGCAGTATTTCATATCCCAATAGGTTCGCGAAAGACGTTCGCAAAGGTGACACATGAGTTAGAAAAGGACAGAGATATATTCGTATCCTTTTCTATCTCATGCATCACAATCAACCTATTGTGCTTAGGCCTATTAGGTTGTTCAAGTTGGGTGGGGAGAAATCCAAAATGTCGATTAAGCGGTGCACCAACAAACTTAAGAAATGTACAGGATGAAGTCGAATTTTTTTAATATCTCGCTTAAATGAAATTTTGGAACCTAAGTGTATTAGGATTTTAGTTTCTATTTTTAATTATCTTTTTATCTTTAATTATTTTTTTAATTACATTAAATAGGTAATTAAAGATAAAACTAAAATCCTAATACATTTAGGTTCCAAAATTTCATTTAAGCGAGATATAAAAAAAATTCGACTTCATCCTGTACATTTCTTATGTTTGTTGGTGCACCGCTTAATCGCCATTTTGGATTTCTCCTCATCCAACTTGAACAACCTAATGCCTATACTTTTTTGTCCTTTTCTAACGCACATGTTGTCATGGCAACACGTGTGTTAGAAAAGAACAAAAAAGTGTAGGTATATCTGGCCACGAGTATAACTGTCACATTTCAGATATTTTACTGTAAATATACGTATAATTCTGTATATTTGTAAAAAAATGAAAAAAGATTTTACAAATTTTAGATTTCTTAGCTTCTGAGTCATGTGACAGTGTTATATATACATGTGCATACACACACACATACATATTAGGTATTAGGGAAGAGGGTTATAAAATTTCGAAAAAAAAATATTATTGTGACGAAGACAAAGAAGAAAACTTTTATAAATTTTCTATGACAGATATTTTTAAGTATAATGGAATCTGGCTTAAATGCATATTCAATAAAAAAATATGACACATACGAGGATGAAGAAGAGCGAAAACACTTTCAGCGGATTGTTTCCGCATTCAAATATTACAAGTGAGCATGCATTTTTTTTTTATTATTTTTCATTTTATTCTCTTTAAATACAATCTAGCACACTTTTTAAAAACAATTTTATGTTAAATACAAGATTTATTAACTATTTTATTTATATATTCAGTATGAAGTAATAATTACATTTTAACATCGAATAAGAATCATTTCTCAGTCAGAATTTCGTATAATTCTCTTTTTATTAATTAAAATTGTTCCTGTCAAATAATCTATTTTTTATTTTCCTAAAAATGACCCTTTTTTGTTCTTTTTAGAAATACAAAAAAAATCATTCGCTTTTAATAGTAGTTATCAATTTATAAATATACCTATATAATACTACTTTAGTAGCTGTATAGGGTATTGAAAAATTTTGTTATTTTTTTATACTCCACCCTTTAAAATTATTAGTAGACATATTATTTTTAGATGAGTGGGAAAAAGAACTTTAATAGTGGAAAATAAAAAAAAAGTAACATTTTTTTTGTTTTCTTTTCTAAGAAAAAAAAGAAACTTCGAAACGAAGAGGTTATGTTAAATTTTCTGTTAAAAACGACTACCGGTAAGAATTGTGGGCCTCGGATTGTACGACTTTTTCGACTTTATTCAATTTTTTTCTCAAAAATACAGATTTTTTCGACTTTTTTTTTTTTTTAATAAAATGCGCCAATTTTATTTTAATTTTTAAAGAAATTTTTAAATAAAATACGACTTTTTTTTAGTATACAATGCAACTTTTCCAAAATTTAATTACTTAACAAATTTTTCACTAAAGTTCTTTGCTAAATTAAATATTTTTTAATACCTAATTTAAATAAAATTCATTAAAAAATTCAGTTATCTGAAAATATTTTTCAATTAATCATTTAAAAAAAATTGAATAATTTTTTGAAATTTAAAAAAAATCAATTTTAACAAATAAAATTATCAGAAAAATTTTAATTCAAAATCACATGAAATTCAATTATTCCCAAAAAATCTAAACTTAATAATTTAAAAAATGATAATTATTTCAGACAATAATTTCCATTTAGTTCTTAAAAAACTCATTTTATTTAAAATATTTTTTAAAAAAAAATTTTAATATAAATTTAAATTAAAATTTCCAAAAATTTTAATTTCAAATCTTTTGCAATTCAATTATTTCTAAAAATTTTAATTAAAAACCTTCTAAAATTTTTATTATAAAATTTTAATTAATTTCTAAAAAATTGAATTTTAATTATTTAAAAAAATTGTTATCTTTAAATTAATTTTTAAATTATAGTTAATCAATCATTTTCATCAAATTCTTAAAAAAATTGAATTTGTTAAAACAGTTTTAATTAAAAATTATGTAAAAGTTAATTATTGTCTGAAATTTAAAAAAATATTGAAAAACTAAAATTTTCGAAAACTTAAAATCTTTTGAAATTTTATTATTTTAAAAATTTCAACTGTAACTCTTTCAAAATTCAATTATTTTTAATAATTTTAATATTTCCTAGCCTCGGATGATTATACGACTTCTTCGACTTTTTTTTTACATTTTTTAAAAAAAATTTTTAAACAAAATACGTTTTTTTAGTATAAAATGCAGATCTTCAGATCTTCTTCATTTCAATATTATTTAACAAATTTTTAAATAAAATTCTTCACTAAATTAATTATTTTTAATAATTTTAATGAAAGTCTTCACAAATTCAATTACCTTAAACTATTTTTCAACTAAAATTTTTATGAAATTTAATAATTGTTTATAATTAAAAAAAAAAAAAAATTAGCAAATAAAATAACTAAAAAATTTTTATTCAAAATCACTTAAAATTTAATTATTTGCGAAAATTTCAATAATTTTTATAATATTCTTCGAAAATTCAATTATCTGAAAGTATTTTTCAATTAAGTACTTTTGGAATTTAATTTTTTTATCTGCTTTCTAATATAAAGTCTTCGTCAACAGAAATCACTAAAATTTTCTCTTATTATAATTATTGTCTGAAATTTAACACAATCTTTTGAAATTCAATTATTTTCAAAAATTTCAATTTAAAAGCTTCTAAAATTTTCAATCTAAAATTTTTTAAAATTTATTGATTTCAATTATAACACTACTGAAATTCAATTATTTTTAATGATTTTTAGATTCTAATTTTAGAATTATTTTATTTTTATCTGCAATTTCTAATAAATTTTTTAGTGAAATTATCAAAAAATTTAAATATAAAATCACTTGTTGTTCAATTAATTTCAAAAATCTAAATTGTAAATCTTTTGAAAATTCAATTAACTTTAAAAAATGTTATCTAAAATTATTTGATAAATTATTTTTAGTTCTTTAAAATTTAATTATTGTCTGAAAATTAACAAAATCTTTTAAAATTCAATTATTTCTAAAAATTACAACTTAGGGTCAGTTGGGGTAAATGGGGACAAAAGGTTTTGGAGCTTAATTTACAGTTTTAAAATTAAGTTCAACGTCAATATTTTAACCTCAGATCACCTGCAAGAGGTTTTCAGTATTGACAATCATTTATCTTGACAATTGACAGCAAGATAAAAAAAGTTATCGCTTAATGTATAAAAACTTGAAAATCAAAATCAATCTGTTTCAGTATTTTGTCTCGCATTTCAAAAAAAAACAGACTTAAAAATCATACCAAATTTTTTTCTTATTCCTTATGACTCCTATAACAGAAATTCACTTGAATTTTTCATTTTTGTCAATTTGGTTAATAATGACAAGCTGTTCCCATTTACCCTGAGTTTTCAAATTTTTGGAGTAAATGGAGACAGCTTGTCATTATTAACCAAATTAAAAAAAAATAAAAAATTCAAGTGAATTTCTGTTATGGGAGTCATAAGGAATAAGAAAAAAATTTGGTATGATTTTTAAGTCTGTTTTTGTTCAAATGCGAGACAAAATACTGAAATAAAAAAAAAAAAAAAAATTTCAATTGGTTCAACTATTATAAATCTATTACAAATTTTTTTTCAAGTTTTATCCCTTAATACAGTAATATACTTAAGGAAACTTTTTTCTTAAAACTTTCTTAGAGACTGTGCTGTTCCCATTTACCCCAAATTTTAGGAAATTTTATAAATTTTGGGGTAAATGTGGACAGTCAGTTTCATGCGTTTAAAGCTTATCTAAATTTTTTTCTGCTGCATAAAATTAATCCTGGGAATGTAAATAACAACTTAAAAAAAACAAACCCGCAAATATTACCTTTTAAAAGAAGAAACTTACGTAATTTGTGAAAAATAGCAATTTTGTTCCCATTTACCGCAACTGACCCAAAACAATTTCAAAATTATTATTTAAAAAAAATTTTATTTAAAAATCTGTAAAGCATGATTTAGTATTGCCTGAAATTTTTTCGACCATCAAAACTAAAAACTATAACAAAATTTTAAATTCGAATAAATTGATCAAATCATATTTGAAAAAATTATAAAAATTAAACTTTCAGAATTTTTTTTAGAAATTTGTCCTACTTTAATAAAATTGTGAAAATTTGTTGTACAATTAGTTCGATTCTGAAATATTCGAAATAAATTATATAATAATAAAATGCTTGGTCTGTCCTAACTTGAAGTTGGCCTTTTCTGATTTCACGTGTTTTTTTGAATATTAATCTTATGACGTGTCAAATTTTGACAATTCTTTTTCTCATTTTTGCCAAAGTTGTATAATTGTGTTTCCAAATTTCGGAATAAGTTTCTTTAAAATTCCAAATTCGAAAATTCAATTCACGAAGCTGAAGTACACAACGTTTACCAACGAAATTTTTTTTAAACTTGTATATTGATTCAAAAATTGTACAAAAAATTTATGATGAGAAAAAAGATGCGCCAGGAAATTTCGTACAAGATAGTAATTTGAAAAAAATTTATTTTTAAAAATTAATTTTTAAGGTACCAGGGGCCAACGAATACCTATTAAATATTAAATATTAATTATAAAAACACAGGCCTCGAATCAACTTAAAGACACAAAAAGTCCTTTTAGTCGATTTATATTCCAAAAAAAAGTGGATTTGTTTTTTATTTTAACAAAAATATTTTACAGATTTTTAAATAAATTTTTTTTTTTTAATAATAATCCTTTTCACAGGGTTAAAGTTGAAATTTTTAGAAATAATTAAATTTCAAAAAATATTGTTAATTTTCAAACAATTATTAAATTTTACAGAACTAAAAATAATTTATCAAACAATTTTTGGAAAACATTTTTTAAATTTAAATTGAATTTTCAAAGATTTAAAATTGAGATTTTTGAAATTAATTGAAACTTTAAGTGTTTTGTTATTACAATTTTAGATAATTTCACTAAAAATTTATTAGAAAATGCGGACAAAATACAATAATTTGAACATCATTTTTAATTGAAAAATGGTTTCAGATAGTTAAAATTTCAAAGAATATTATTAAAATAGTTAAAAATAATTGAATTTCCTTAGAGTTATAATTGAAATTATTAAATTTCAAAAAAAAAAAAAACGATGGAAAATTTTAGAAATAATTAAATTTTAGATGCTTTTAAATTCAAATTATTGAAAATTCAATTAATATTTATTTCAAATTTTTGAGAATAATGAATTTTTATTTGATTTTAAATTTGGAAAATAATTGAATTTCAGTTCATTTTGAATTGAAAATTTTGGGAAATAATTGAATTTTAATTGAAATTTTGGATAATAATTTAATTTAAGTTCATTTTTGATTGAAAATTTGGATAATTAATTTTGAATAGAAATTTTAGAAAATAATTGAATTTTATTTCATTTTAAATTGAAAATTTGGTAAATAATTAAATTTTAAATTAAAAATTTTGGATAATTATTGGATTTTAATTGATTTTGAATTAAAATTTCGGGTAATAATTGAATTTTAGTTTATTTTGAATTGAAATTTTTAAAAAATAATTCAATTTTATTGTGATATTTTTTTTAAATTATAAACAATTGTTAAATTTCATAAAAATTTTAATTGAAAATAATTTTGATATAATTGAATTTGTGATGTACCTATTTAATTAAAATTATTAAAAATAATTAATTTAGTGAAGAATCATTTTAGTTCAAAATTTGTTAAATAATTGAATTGAAGAAGATCTGAAGAAGATCTACATTTGATACTAAAAAATGTATTTTATTTACATTTTCGTTTCAAATGTTAAAAAAATGTCGCATTTTATTAAAATAAGTCGAAAAAAGTCGTATTTTTGAAAAAAGTCGGAAAAAGTCGTATAATCCGAGGCCTGTAAACATATAATTTTCATTATTATCATTTAATAAGTAATAATATTCTAATAAATTAAATTATTATTGATAATATTAATCTTTAATTTCTTTATAACAAACAATTAAACATTCAATTTGGCGCGCTTGCGCGCGTTTAATTTTGCTAGTTTACTTAATATTCATTATAGAATTATTCTTATTACAGAATTAATGAAATGAATTTAATATCTAATAATAATAATTACTTGAAATAAAATATTCATTAACTAATTAAATTTATTAGAAATAAAAAATCGACATTTTCGACTTTTCTTGTAATGTAAGTCGACTAAAACGCCTGGAATTGTGCAAGCATCCATTTTTTGGTGAATGAAAAAAATTTTATAGCATAAAATGAATGTAAATTAAAATTTTGTCGACATCTTATAAGATTGATGAAATTATAAGAAGAATAAGATCTGAAAGAAGTGATTTTGTCTTTTTTTATTTATAAAAATATAGATCAGAATTTCGTAAATGTAAATGTAAATTGATTTTAAATTGATCAATCCCGATTTTTTTTTGATAATTTCTGATTGGTTAATTTCTAAAACCGCACCGAAATCTTTCTGTTGATTGTATATTTGGTCCTTTGTAATTTCGAACAAATGAAGATTTGTCGTTTTAATAATTATATTATATCAAATAAGAATTCGTGCAAATAAAAATTTGAACAAATAAAGTTTCGATTAATTAAAATTGTTTACATATTTAAAAATTTGTATCACTTAAAATTCTGTTGAATGAGAATTATGCTAAATTAAAATTCGGTTAAATTTGAATTCTTTTAAATAAAAAGTTGTGTAAAAAGAAATTCTGTGAAATAAAAGTTTATTACCTAAAATTTTGTTAAGTTAAAAATTCATTTAAAAAAATTCTGTTAAAGGCTAATTCAAAAAATGTAAATTCGTCTAAAAAATAATTATATCAAATAAAATGCTTTAAATTGAAAATTATGACTAATTTTTTTTTTTATGAAATAATCATGTACCGCATATATTATTTTCTAACGATTCTTTCTTTCGTGGAATTTTCACAATGCCCTGTTTTTTTTGTAACTAATCAGAATTGTAATTAGTAATAATTTTTCATTATTCTATTGTAAATTTACAGACCACACTCTTTACAACGAGTGAAGAAGACTGAAACCTACCTCCTTTCTCTACCAACGCATCATCAAAAGTTACTCTCAAAATATCGAGATCACCTACAAGAAGTGAAGCGTTGTATTGAAAATAATGACGACATAATAAAACTTATAATTAAGGATGTGGCTCACATATTTGAGAACGTGAATCCAGCCAGCACAGATAACGAGAGTGTAAGAAAAGTTAATCTGGTGTGTAGCATGACATCTTTCTTCTATATATTTATTATATAGATTCTCATTCTTTTTTTTTCGCAGTAGTATTTGGACATTTTCTTTCTAATTTCAATGAATTTCACAAAAAAAATCTCTTTCTTTGCCATCATGTAAAAAGAAGTTCAAATTTCTAAAATGTAATTTAGTTTCATAAAATTTTTTCGTTTATAGTACTTAATAAAATTATTAAGTATTAGTAAAAGCCGGTTTCACCAGCTTGGATTAAATCGAGGTGCATGAATAATCTCCAAATTTCAAGGTCTGTTAAGCTGGCACCACAAGTTTGATATTTTTAAATATCTCCTATGTGAGAATTTAGGGCTAATTACCGCTCAAAATAAAAAATTTACCGCTCTTTATTTTTTTTAAAAAAAGGCGGTTGGTGCTACCTTAACGTTCAGCTGGCACGAAACGCTTAAAAAACCAAATAAATAAAGAGATAATTAAAATTCTACCATGCCATAATTTAGGGCTCATTTAGGGCTTTCAAATGGACATAGAAAGAATTTTCAAAAAAAATTTCAAAAACAAAAACACTCTATTTTATTTCAATAAATTTTCAAAAAATTCTACTCAGTTAAATTCTACACAAGAAAATTGTACATTTCAAATTCTTTTAATTTTGCACGATTAAATACTTCACCGTAAAATTCTACACAAACAATAAATTATTCTTATTGATTCAATTGAATTATTAATTCAACGCCTTTAAATTCGACGCCAGATAACTCTACACAAATAAATACGTTGAATTTAAATAAATTTGGTAATGTAAAATGAAAAAAATTCTACACAGTAAAATTCTACAATGTGAAACTCGACACAAACAGTTGAGGTATTCATCAGTTTGCGACGAGTTTCATCGTGTAAAATTTAACTGCGTAGAATTTATTTCTTCTTATATTACCAAATTTATTTAAATTCAACGTATTTTCTTGTGTAGAGTTTAATTGCGTTGAATCGCTACCACCCCTTAAAGAAAACACAGATAAAATCATTTTAGCATTAAAGTGATTGAATTTTAAATTGAGGCGCGAAATTTATTCAATTTTTATTTAATAATTTATTTAGTTGTAAAATTAAAAAAAAATTGTTCTGAAATAGATTTATTTCTCTCACTTTCCTTGATATTTTAAAAAAAAGGTAGACCTCAATCCGATTGTTAGAACGGAAGATATAGCAGTTTAAATTTTTTTGTTATTATTACAAATCTCGTAAACTAACAAATATTTTAAGCGGTATACGCCCAATTTCCCGAAAACAGCCGCCCGAATGCAATTGCCCGAACGGTCTTTTGCCTGACTCTAATCGCCCGAAAAAAATTGAAATGTAAAAAATTACACGTTGTGTGAATGAACGAACATAAGAATATGAAGTCATTTGTTTATTATTGTAACGTCAAAATCAATCAACGTGTCGTTTTGTTCACATCAATTTGAGGAAAGATATTCCAAATTTTTAGTGTAGAATACAATGGATTTAAACGTGGAAGTACCAATAATTGTTGGTGATAAATTATTATTGCGAGGTTTTATATATGTCAGGTCGAGAGAAGGCAAAAATAATAATAAGCGATATTGGGATTGTGAACAAGTTCGACGGGGCGAATGCAAGGCGCGTGCAATTAAGCAGCAAAGTGCAACGAGTTTAATAGCGTTGAAGGGTCTAACCGGCAAGGCCGACCAAAAGATTTCTCCTCATTTTGTCGTACTTTGAATTAGCCATTGTGAATACTTGCCAATATGTACACTGATACTCCATTTGGGGGATGTTTCTTCAACTTGAGCCTAAATGCGTATTGCAAAATTCAAGAAGTTGACTTACAAACTGCCTACAACAACCCCAGAGACGATACCATAAGAAAAGACTCCTATGATATTAAGTTTGGCATTTGTTCCTGTCCGTGATGTCATTGAGGCCTTCGATGCTCTGGCTGAAGTTGTTTCGAAGGATTTACTCGATATAATAAATTACTTTGACCATAAGTATGTTCGCGGGAGAGCAGGTCGTGGACGACGTCGTGCAGTTCCACCTCGATACCTCATTGAACTATGGAATCAATATGAAGCAACTCTTCAAGGTCTATATCGCACAAACAATGTAAGCGAAGGTTGGCATAATAGATTTAGAATTATTGTCAACAAAGATTCCTTAGACCTGTATTCGTTCTTGAAACAAATTCAGAAGGAGCAGTAGGATATTGAAACGTGCTTAGTGGAATTGAGTTTGGGGCGTTCAGTGAAGGCGGAAAATTATGAAACATATAAAGAAAACGAAGAAATCCTCAAATACTTAGAACACTGTGCTTATAATATTCAAATTACTTAATTTTTCTCTTATCATTTACACTGAAACAGGAATAATTTACTTTACTATTATTAAAAATTTAATATTCCTTTACCACACGCGGCTGGGTTCAAAGCTGTGTGGGTTCAAGTTAACAGAATTTAAACAAAGTTCAAAGATAATTTGAAAAATATTATCAGGGTTGCCCGGCGCCAGTCGACTAAATGTCGACAATTTTATTAATTACAATTGAACATGAGACATTTAATTATAAAACAAAAAGAACAAAAAAGGGGGGGTAAAATGGGTGAACCCAAAATTTAATACCAAGAGTGTCGACTGAAAGATATATATTTTCATAAGAAATCTACTTATATTTTGGAGAGATGCACTCTTCAAATACCCGAATTAGCCAATTTCTACGTGACTCACACACTATAATATTCTCACAAAATAATCGACAAAATAAGTTTAGAAAAATGAAAAACGTGTATACATATCGACGTTCGATCCAAAAGTGATCATGATGCGACTTGTTGCTTTGACGCCGGTCCATAGCGCCGGTCTCGCATGTGTCGTTACCATAACAACGCCAGGATCGTACATCGATAATCAATTAGAGGTTCAATAAAATATTTATAAAATAACAATAAAGTTTATCAACACTTGTTAAATTTTTACAAATAAGCAGACGCGAAAATACTTCCTGTTACAACACAATTACTTACCTACATCAATTTTATAAACAAGTTTTTTTAAACACCTGCAATATTCTTATACAAGTATATTTATCTTCTTGAAAACAAATTTATGTGTTTTGATTAATTTTTTTCGGGCGTAATAACCTACGGGTGTTTAGCTTCGGGCAAAAAAATTTCGGGGGATCGGTTTTCGGGCGACTGTCCATTCGGGTGCGCGTTTTTGGGCGATTGTACTGTAATCATTTTAAGCTGCTATTTACGTTAAAGCTTAGTCTTACTATATATAACAAAATTCCAATGTTTCATTGCAATCGGTTAACCTACTCCGAAAAAGTCAAAATCTTACCTGCAACCGCACAATTGTGTTAAATATTCTTTAATTTTTATGTCTTTTTAGAAATACAAGTTAAGAAGAAAATGTAGAATTTTTTAATTTGATCGTTGAATTTGAATTCAGTGACCTTGAAAACAAAAGAATATTAAAATTTTGTTCAAATTCAATCATTTTTAAAAAATTTGGTCTTACAAATTGGTTATGCCATTTTGAATTTTTGAATTTAACCACCATATTTGAACTAAGCGATCTGGAAAACATTGGAATACTAAATTTTGAACAAATCAATCAATTTTTAGAAATTCAAGTAATTTAGTTCACTACGATTTACCGGTTTATACAGTTTAATTTATTATTTTCTAACAAAAATGACCAACTTCGCTGAATTCTGTAAGACCCAAAAAATGAAATCAAGGTTTCTCTATAATTTTACTCTATTCTAATTTATTTAGTTTAACTTTGATCCAAAGATCATCAAATTTGGTCCATTTGTTCAAGAAATTTTAAGTTTTGATAAAGAAAATGCCAAAATCGTACACTGCATGCCATTTAAACTAAATCATTTGACCTGATGTTCATATAACCTAATTCTCATTCGGCCTAAACATACTATAACCTAATTGTTAGTTGTTCTAATATTCATCTGACCTAATTCTCATTTGGCCTAATTTTACTATAACCTAATTGTTACTTGTTCTAATATTAATTTAGCCTAATTCTCAATTGACCTAATCTTAATGTAACATAATTCTCATTTGCCTAATCTTCACTTGACCTAGTTGTCAACTGCATACAATTTTTTTTAAAGTAGATAAAGTGAGGATTAGGCCAAGAAAAAATAGGTTACATTGAGATTAGGCCAACTGAGAATTTGATTAAATTAATATTAGAAAAAGTAACAATCAGGAAATAGTAAAATTATGCCAAATGAGAGTTAGGTCAGATAAATATTAGAACAAATAACAATTCGGTTATAGTATGTTTAAACCGAATGAGACTTAGGATGTTTAAATATCAGGTCTAATGAAAATTAGTTTAAACGGCGTTTAGTTCAAACAATAATTAGGCCATATTTGGGCCTAATAATCATTAGGTTTAGATAAAAATGAAATTTAGGGCAGATAAATTTTATATTAAATAAGAATTAAATTAATATAAGATCAAATGAGAATTAGGACAAATGACGATTAGTACAAATCCATCATCCAGCCATTTTGATTGGATACTTCAGAACAATTGAAAAAGTTGCGCGCGCAAGTTACGTTGTCACATAATCGGCGAGTAACTCTATTAACCGGACAAAATCGAGCGGTTATGTTAAACAGTAGTTAACTTAATTTAACCAGCTCTAGCGTTTCAAAGATGGTGGGACATAAAAGACTTATGAAAATTAAACTAATTGGAAATTAACTACTTAATCGTAGTTAGTGAAACCGACACCCAAATGTATTATTTTATTAATTAAGGATATTTATGATCATTTTAACCGTCCCCCTTTTTTGATGATTAACCTCCTTCCACTCATAAAGCCTTACCTAATTTGTGTACGGCCCACAAATTAATACAAGTTAATAATGTGATCGACCTAAAATACACCTAAAATGAAATAAATATATGTATAAACACTTTTATTTATTAAATAATACTTATTACAA